CCCAGCACATGCAGAGGAGCTAAAAGTTCCTGTGTTCTGGGCCCAGCAACAGGCTGGGGAGACCTAGCAGAGGTTGGGAGATGGGTTAGTGACCTGGGGGAAGGGGGCACCTCTCCAGGCTTCTCTCCTGGACCCCTGCCCCAGGCACTGTCAGAAGCATGGCCCTGAGAGCATCCTCCCGGTACAAAGACCGCTTTGGGGCCAGGACCCTCACCTTGTCTGTCTATAGAACAAGCCTTAACCTGTCAGAAGGCATGTTCTTTGTTAGAATGGCTAAAATCAGCAACACGGGAAACAACAGGTGTTGGCGAGGATGCAGAGAAAGGGGAACCTCGTGCACTGTTGGTGGGAATGCAAGCTAGTGCAGACACTCTGGAGAACAGTATGGAGGCTGCTCAGAATGTTAAAAATACAACTACTCTACAAGCCAGCAATGCACTACTGGGTATTTACCCAAAGGATACAAAAATACAGATCTGAAGGGGTACATGCACCCCAGTGTTTATAACAGCATTATCAACAATAGCCAAACTGGGCGCCTGGGTGGCTCAGTTGGTTAAGCGACTGCCCTCGGCTCAGGTCATGATCCTGGAGTCCCGGGATCGAGTCCCGCATCGGGCTCCCTGCTCAGTGGAGAGCCTGCTTCTGCCTCTCTCTCTGCCTGCCTCTCTGCCTACTTGTGCTTTCTCTCTGTGTGTCAAATAAAAAAAAAAAAAAAAAAAAAAACAATAGCCAAACTATGGAGAGAGCCAAGATGTCCATCAACAAATGAATGGAGAAAGAAGATGTGGTGTATATATACACTGGAATATTACTCATCCATCAAAAAGAATGAAATCTTGCCATTTGCAGCAACATGGATGGAGCTAGAGTGTATTATGCTAAGTGAAATAAGTCAGTCAGAGAAAGACAAATACCATATGATCTCACTCATATGTGGACTTTAAGAAAACAGATGAACATATGAAAAGGTGAAAAAGGAAAAAAGGAGAGAGGGAAACAAGCCATAAAAGACTCTTAATGATAGAGAACAAATTGAGGGTTGCTGGAGAGAGGCGGGGGGGATGGGCCAGATGGGTGATGGGCATTAAAGAGGGCACCTGTTAGGATGAACACTGACTGTTGTATGTAAGTGATGAATCACTGAATTCTACTCCAGAAACCAATACTGCACTGTATGTTAACTACCTAAAATTAAAAAAAAAAAAAAAAAAGGCACACTCTTGTCACCCTCACAACATAAGTGATGACCATGTAGCTAGGAGGGAAAGATAAAAACTGGGATCCCTGGTGGGGACGGGGGCAAAAACTGGTGCTAAGCTCAAGGCTTGGCCAGGAAAACAGCAGGAACACCCCTGAGACATGGTGCCAGGGCCTGCTGAGACCAGAAACAGAAACCCAAAGTCCACTCCCCAACAGGCCAATGTGCATCAAGCAACAAGCCACCTACTGAGGAACAACCACTCTGAGGAAAAGTGCAGAGGGACCCCAAAACTGAGGATGGAGCAGACACTGAAGAACCCTCTGACAAATGAGTCTCCACCTACCCCCAAGACCCAAAGGATCAATGAGAGAAACCTGGGGCAACAGCAAATCCCAAACACATCCCAAGCCCTGATTAGACTGACTCAAGCCCTACAGAAAAGGTCTGCCAGGAGAAGGCCAGCCATTCCAGGCTCTAGTCTCTACTGTCCTATACGACAGACGCAACTTTCAACAAAAAAACAAGAAGCCTACACAAAAGCAAGAAAAAATGCAACACACTCCTAAGAGATGAAGCCACCATCAGAACCATAGATACCATAGTGAGGGGGTGCCCGGGTGGCTCAGAGTTTAAGTGTCTGCCTTCAGCTCAGGTCATGATCCTATGGTCCCGGGATCGAGCCCCGCATCGGGCTCCCTGCTCGGTGGGAAGCCTGCTTCTCCCTCTCCCTCTGCCCCTTCTCTCTCTCAAATAAATAAAAATAAAAAATCTTAAAAAAAAAAAAGAACCATGGATATGATAGTGATGTTGGAACTAACTGAATAGTTTGCAGGGAACTTAATATAGCTATGATTAACACATTAAAGGTTATAATGGAAAAGGTGGACAACATACAGATCAGATTGGTAATTTCAGCAGAGAAATGAAGACTATAAAGAATTAAGTAAATGTAAATGCTAGAAAAGAAAAACATAATAGCAGAAAAAGAATGCCTTCAGTGGGCTCATCCTTAGACTCAACACAGCCAAGGAAAGAATCAGTGAACTTGAAGAGGAAAAGAGAAATTACCCAAACTGAAACAGAAAGAGAAAAAAAGAAAAGAAGAGAAAAGAAAGGCAGAACATATTATCCAGGAGTTGTGAGATAATATCAAACAGTCTAATGCATACATTACTGGAAACTGAGAGGAGAGAACAGGGGAAAAGAAATATTTGAGGAAATAATGGCTGAGAATTTTCCAAAAGTAATGATAGACATCAAACTGAAGGTCCAAGAAGTTCAGAGAACACCAAGTAGGATAATTTTTTTTAAAAGTGGGGCGGGGGGGGGCGCCTGGGTGGCTCAGTTGGTTAAGCGACTGCCTTCGACTCAGGTCATGATCCCGGAGTCCCAGGATCGAGTCCCGCATCGGGCTCCCTGCTCGGCAGGGAGTCTGCTTCTCCCTCTGACCCTCCCCCTTCTCATGTACTCGCTCTCTCTCATTCTCTCTCTCTCAAATAAAAATAAATAAATAAATCTTTAAAAAAAAAAAAGTGGGGCGGGGGGCAAGAAACCCACGTACCATATTCAAATTGTTGGTAAAAGTCAGAGAAATTCCTAAGAGCAGCCAGAGAAGAGACATATTACATACACAGGGACAAAGATGAAAAGTTAGGCCCCTTTTCTTCAGAAACATGGCTGACAATGGAGGGATATCTTTGATGTGCTGACACAGAACTCTCAACCCAGCATGCTATCCTGAGTAAAGATGCATTTCAAAAGAACAGGAGAGGGGCACTGGGTGGTTCAGTTGGTTAAGCGTTCAAATCTTGATTTCGGCTCAGGTCATGATCTCAGGGTCATGAGCTGGAGCCCTGCTTCGGGCTCTGTGCTCAGAGTCTGCTTGAGATTCTCTCTCTCTAAAATAAATAAATAAATCTGTTTTTTTTTAAGAAGTGGAGGAGAAATAAAGACTTTCTAAGACAAAGAAAATTCTTAGGAATTTATTGCCCTGTAGCTACTCTCCAAGAAATCTTAAGGGAAACTTCTCAGGCACAAGGAGTACAATACTAGATGGCAGCTTAGATCTACAAAAAGAAAAGGAAAGCACAGCATACATGAGGGTAAGATGAAATTCATTCTCCCTACATGGAATTACTTGAAAAGTTAACTGTCTAAAGCAAACATAACAACACATTGAGTGTTTATAGCACATATGAGGAAAATATATGCAGATGCACACAGGATGAGAGGAAGGAGGTAAGTTCCTTACCGCACCCATGAAGAGGTATACATCATTCAGAGACAGACTCTGGTTAAATAAAGACATATGTTGTAAGCCCTAAGGCAATCACTAACTACTTTTTTTATTTTTTTATTTTGATGTAGTGTTCCATGATTCATTGTTGGCATATAACACCCAGTGCTCCATTCAATACGTGCCCTTTTTAATACCCATCACCAGGCTAACACATCCTCCCACCCCCTCCCCTCTAGAACGCTCAGTTTGTTTCTCAGAGTCCATAGTCTCTCATGGTTCATCTCCCCCTCCGATTCCCCTCCCCCTTCGTTTTTCCCTTCCTGCTATCTTCTTTTTTTTTTTTTTTTTTAACATATAATGTATTATTTGTTTCAGAGGTACAGGTCTGTGATTCAACAGTCTTACACAATTCACAGCGCTCACCATAGCACATACCCTCCCCAATGTCTATCACCCAGCCACTCCATCCCTCCCACCCCCCACCACTCCAGCAACCCTCAGTTTGTTTCCTGAGATTAAGAATTCCTCATATCAGTGAGGTCGTATGATACATGTCTTTCTCTCTTTGACTTATTTCACTCAGCATAATACCCTCCAGTTCCATCCACATTGTTGCAAATGGCAAGATTTCATTCCTTTTGATGGCTGCATAATATTCCATTGTATTCTTCTTTATCCATTCATCCGTCGATGGACATCTTGGCTCTTTCCACAGTTTGGCTATTGTGGACATTGCTGCTATAAACATCGGGGTGCACATACCCCTTCGGATCACTACATTTGTATCTTTGGGGTAAATACCCAGTAGTACAATTGCTGGGTCGTACAGTAGCTGTATTTTCAACTTTTTCAGGAACCTCCATACTGTTTTCCAGAGTGGCTGCACCAGGTTGCATTCCCACCAACAGTGTAGGAGGGTTCCCCTTTCTCCACATCCTCGCCAACATCTGTCGTTTTCTGACTTGTTAATTTTAGCCATTCTGACTGGTGTGAGGTGGTATCTCATTGAGGTTTTGATTTGGATTTCCCTGATGCCAAGCGATATTGAGCACTTTTTCATGTGTCTGTTGGCCATTTGGATGTCTTCTTTGGAAAAATGTCTATTCATGTCTTCTGCCCATTTCTTGATTGGATTCTTTGTTCTTTGGGTGTTGAGTTTGGTAAGTTCTTTATAGATTTTGGATACTAGCCCTTTATCTGATATGTCATTTGCAAATATCTTCTCCCATTCTGTCGATTGTCTTTTGGTTTTGTTGACTGTTTCATTTGCTGTGCAAAATCTTTTTATCTTGATCAAGTCCCAATAGTTCATTTTTGCCCTTGCTTCCCTTGCCTTTGGCGATGTTTCTAGGAAGAAGTTGCTGTGGCTGAGGTCGAAGAGGTTGCTGCCTGTGTTCTCTTCTAGGATTTTGATGGACTCCTGTCTCACATTTAGGTCTTTCATCCATTTGGAGTCTATTTTTGTGTGTGGTGTAAGGAAATGGTCCAGTTTCATTCTACTGCTATTCAACATAGTACTAGAAGTCCTAGCCACAGCAATCAGACAACAAAAAGAAATAAAAGGCATCCGAATCAGCAAAGAAGTAGTCAAACTCTCACTCTTTGCAGATGATATGATACTTTATGTGGAAAACCCAAAAGACTCCACCCCAAAACTGCTAGAACTCTTACAGGAATTCAGCAAAGTGGCAGGATATAAAATCAATGCACAGAAATCAGTGGCATTCCTATATACCAACAACAAGACAGAAGAAAGAGAAATTAAGGAGTCGATCCCATTTACAATTGCACCCAAAACCGTAAGATACCTAGGAATAAATCTAACCAAAGAGGCAAAGAATCTGTACTCAGAAAACTATAAAATACTCATGAAAGAAATTGAGGAAGACACAAAGAAATGGAAAAACGTTCTATGCTCATGAATTGGAAGAACAAATATTGTGAAGATGTCAATGCTGCCTAGAGCAATCTACACATTCAATGCAATCCCCATCAAAATGCCATCCACTTTTTTCAAAGAAATGGAACAAACAATCCTAAAATTTGTATGGAACCAGAAAAGACCCCGAATAGCCAGAGGAATGTTGAAAAAGAAAAGCTAAGCTGATGGCATCACAATTCTGGACTTCAAGCTCTATTAACTAGCTGTCATCATCAAGACAGTCTGGTACTGGCACAAAAACAGACACATAGATCAATGGAACAGAATAGAGAGCCCAGAAATGGACCCTCAACTCTATGGTCAACTCATCTTTGACAAAGCAGGAAAGAATGTCCAATGGAACAAAGACAGTCTCTTCAACAAATGGTGTTGGGAAAATTGGACATCCACTAACTACTTTTTAAAAGAGGTATAAGAGTGCTAAGTCAATAGACATAAAATGGAATCAAAAAAATGCTCAATTAACTAAAGAGGAGGGAAAAAAAGAGGAAAAATAAAATACGTTTCCTTGATTCTGAAAGCACATTGATGTTTTATGCAATGTTGACCTTGTTCCTGTCTGTGGATCGCCTCCCAGTGAGCCTTCTGACATGTATATTCAGGTCTTTTATCAACTCAGGAAGTTCCTCCTACAATTATTGTTCCTTCTTTTCCAATTGTTCATCCTTAGAAACACCTATAATTCCTAGTTTGGACCGCTGGACTTTTACTATTTCATCAATTTGTCCCTCTGCATTCTGAGAAACTCCTCAAGTAAGTCTGTACGTCACTGACCTATTATTCCTAAAGGAAAGTACCCATTCGTCATCTTCAGTGTGGATTTTAACTCTTATTTTACACATTTTCTCTAGCATTTAATGTTAAATCTGTTTTCTCCTGTGGCTTTCTATTCCTTTTCTAGAAGCCGTTTCTCCTTATAGCCTATCATTTTGTTGTTTGCTGCTTGCCTGTTTTTCTTCCTCTGGCCAAGTGTCTCCAGATGTCTGCTCCCTTTCTGGGTCCTCAGAATAATATTCTCTCCTTTGCCAAGTAATGTATTTCACGGCACTACACTCATCACTCTTGGTCTACTCCTCCTTCAAAGGTCCAGACTCTGTGGTTGACAACAAGCAGGGTCCAGTGGGACCTTCTCCTTCTAGACGCTGGGGTGAGAGCTGTGCACACGTCCAGCCCTAAACAGACTCCTTCTAGTGCAGACCCACTGAACTCAGATGGGGCCTCCTCTTCTGTTCCTTAATGTCTCTTAGACACTCTGAACAAGCTATTCAAAGAGAAAAACCCCCCAAAACTGGCTCCTCCAATAACGACTGCCGGCAGGACCCTTCTAGTCCCCACATGTCCTCAAAGATAATTTTGGCAAAATTATATTTTGGCACTTATCTCCCTCTTGTTATTCCCTGGTGTTGGGGTCTCGATGTGAATGGCAGGAAGCAGGTGCTGGTGGTGGGCATGGGGGAGCTTTGTCTGAAAGCAGAGAAGCAGCTCCCCCAGAGGATTGGGGAGGGGGGATTTGCAGGCAAGAGTCTTGTGTCCAAGACACAGGCTCCAGTGGGAGGACCTCAATCCCTAGGTGTCATTGGCACTTCTCGGTGGAGTCCAATGGTCTCACACCTGGAAGTTCTCCTCATCAGCGGGCCAGTTTTTGGTGGCCATGCTTTTTCCCTTCTGCGTCCTGAGCCTCTATGAGGATTTAGAAGAGCTAGTATGGCTGCAAAGTTGATGCCTTCTTATTCTGGAGGTCGCCAGAGGTCACTCGTTATTACTAGAGTAGTTAGACTCCTCTCAATTCCAGTTTAGGTCAAATTTCACAAATAAGGACTTGGGGGGTTGGTAGATGAGGGGCCAGGGGGATTAGCCTGTTTCCAGAATTAAAATCTCCACAACAAGTCGTGAACTAGGCATTCTGGTAGGACTCTGCCCTGTATTAGTGAGAGTCACACTGCCAACTCACTCAGTTGCTTCTTTCACCACTGGCTGAGCACCTACTGTGTGCGAGGCAGGCACACAGCCCTCAGAGACAGTGGTGAGAAAGAGACCCATCTCTGTCCACAGAGCTCCTGGCCTAGCGAAGGAGGCAGAGCACATCAGTTGAACAAGTCATACACATACGCGTTTACACATAGGTGCCAAATGCTCTGGAATGTCCCTTGTTACCTTCCGGGTAAAAGATGCTCTCGTCCTGCCGTGAGATCTTCCTGTGGCTGAGTGGGAGCTGCATGTGGCCAGAGAGACCGAAGCCCCACCTGGCCCCTCGCTGTGCCAGGGGGCCATCCTGGGCTTTCTTGGATCTCGCCCCAAAATTCTGCTATAACTGAGTACAAAATTCAAGAGCATTTATTTACTTGGGTTATTTTTATACAGACATTTTTAAATACTAAAACATAATGTAAAACGTGTCTGACACTCAAATAATGCCAAAAGAAGCCCAAGAAAGTTTTAAGAAAACACAGTCGGCGGAGGTCATTTCAATGACATAACTCCATTTAATTTATACCTGAGTATGTCCTTTTCGTCAGGACTAAGAAAATTGTTCATTAAACTACATTTTCATGGTAGATTGCTTAAAATATAGATGTGCTAATATTTTAAAGCTATTCTAAAAATAAGTAGAAATATTTTCAGAGAAGAACATAATCGACATGACTATTTCCTCTCAAGCTCAGCACACACTAAAATGTTTGTTGTTTCCATTCAAAAAACAGTGATTTATTCACTGGGAACACTGAGGTGACATTCTTGTAAAGTAAGTTACATACAGAATACATGTCCTCTATCAATGTACATGCACACGGACACAACTGTCTTTCCCGTGTGGGTCATCACTCCGCCCTGCCCCCGTCCCCAAGACCACACCCCGCTATCTTGCAGCCCCCCCTTCTACAGGGCTTCCTGCAAGAGTAGCCGCAGTTTCCTCAGCTCGTCTCCCGCGGGGGCTGCCCACGCCCTCTTCAGGTACTGGACGTCCATGCTGCCAGAGGCTCTGGCCAGCACCAGGGCCAGGAAGCCGCCACTGGCCTTCTCTGCTTCACCCACGACTGTCATGGCCACCAGCCTGAAAGTAAGAAGCACATGCTGTGTGATCGCTGAGTCTCCCAAATTACCTATCCTCCAAGGAGGGAGTAAAAAGCAAAGGAAATTCTAAAAACTTCAGTAATAGTCAAAAGAAAGGTTGGGCCAGAAATAAAGATACAAAAATCTACGGAAACCGCTTAGAAAACATATTTCTGCATTTCTGCAGACTGACTGCTTGCGAGGGTCACAGATCTTGATGGAGGATGCGCTGCCTGAAGACACGTGGGCTGGAATGCCCTGAGCGCTAGACCCTCCCGTCCAGCTTTGTTCCTCCTGGTGAACGGGGATGCCAGGGGCCCTCGGGTGCCCAGCAAGAAACCCGGAGACAGCCCGACAGCCCTGAGCTTGCCTCTCCCGTCCCTTCACTGACCAGTTTCTCTGACTGGGTCCTGCCTCTAGCCTTTCCCCTCACAGGCTGCGGACAGACACTCAGCGACCTGCATCCCACGTCTGCTCAAGGCCCGCTGGCTGCTCAGGGCCCCCCAGATCCCAGTTCCCACACAGCACCTGCAGTACTGGCCGCTTGGGACTCCCGCTCCTCCGGTCTTCCTCTGTTCACTTCCACTTATCCTTTGAGACCTGACTCAGTGGCATCACCTCCAGAGGCCTCCCCTGGCCCCTGACTAGATCCCTTGACTATGCCTGATTTGGTCAGGGGTCCCCAGCATCCTCGAAATGCCTCTGGCCTACATTCATCCCACCGTTACCCACCAAGAAGGCTGAGACCATGCCCGCCTCATACCGACCTCAATGCTCCCGCCCCTCCTGTCTCCTCATAATGACCAGGGCTGCCAGCACCAGCACCCACAGGGGCCTTGATTCCATGGGATCCACGACTGGCACAGGACGGGAGCAGTGAGCCCCTCCAGGGGGTCACCAGCAGTCGCAGGTAGCAGAGAATGCCCACTGTGGCCCCACAGGGTCTGAGCGCCCACTGGTACTCCATAAGCTTGTCCCCACAATCCAAATACTGCCCCAACTCCCAGGCCCCCGTGATGTAAGCACAGCACACCCTGACAGGGACCTGACTGAGGTCCGGTCAGTCTACACCCACGCACAGGCCACGCTCTGGAGAGCCACAACACGACTTGTGGCAGGTGAGCAAACCACGAAAACTTACAATCATTGAGGGAGACAAACCACGCGAGACTCTTAACTCCAGGGAACAAACTGAGGGCTGCTGGAGGGAGGGGGTGGGGGGTGGGGTAACCGGGGGATGGGCAGCAAGGACGGCAGGTGATGTGATGAGCACTGGGTGTTGTACGCCGCTGATGAGTCACTGACCTCTGCCTCCGGAACTAACACGACACAGACGTTAACGAACTTGAATCGTCACTTAGTACTACTTAGTACTTCAACACTGCTGTTCAATTACTAGTGTAAAACACAGGTCAAGTTTAAGTGCCACCAGTCTGGGAACATGAGTAGCAGGTAACAAACATGAAGCCTTCCACTGCGCAGCAACCGCGATACAAGGGTGCACCACTCGGCGGGCTCCGCGGGCACCGCTAAGCTGGGTCTACGTGAAAACAGATGTCAAAGCACCAGTGTGGACTCTGACGGTCCAGGTAAAATGCCCCTGGGATGAGAGCCAGACAGTCTAAGCCGAGGCAGAGAAAAGGCACAGGCCGGGCTCGCAGGCTGCTACCACCCCCCTGCGCTGGCCCAGAGCCGTGCCTGCCCCCCACCCCCGCCACTCTCCGCCCGGCCTGCTTCTGCTCCCAGACCATGAGCACGCAGCTTACTTATCACCACGGGTTTTAAATTCACCCTAAATGTGGTAAATTCTTCCTTCTACCTAAACTCGTGCCTTTTAGACCCTGTTAGTTCCTTGTTCTGTTCTTCTCTGCAGCTGAAGAAACACTGAGCCCTTCCCAGGAATACGACTTCTTTAGCGGACACAGCTGCTAACCAGGAGGCGTCTACGACGGAATGCTCCACATCATTCTCTGCTCTGCCTCAGCAGATCCCCTGCTCTGTGCGGCTTCAGCTTGCTGCCCTCTGCCGAGATCCAGACACGCTGGCCGGTCCCCACTGCCACCGAGGGCGTGGGGAGGGAGAGACCCCTGTCCCCACCCCAGGAGACCCCACACCTCCCCTCTTCTTGGTAAGACCTTCCTTCCCTGCCCCACTGAAAATCCACACTTGATCCCTCCCTGTTTATTTCTCCCATCACAAGTTGTGGGACTTGCTAGTTTATTTTGTTCACTACCCATCTTGCCCCATCAGGATGTGAGCCTACCAGTTGGCTCACCGCCGTACCCCGGGGCCTGCCCTGGTGCCCGGCACACAGGAGGTACTCGGGAAACACTTGTTTTATTAAATAATGGACAAACTTTGGGGAATAAACTGTGTGTACATTCTGTGTTTATAAGTGAATCACAGTCTGGATTTCAATGATGTATTTTTTAATAATTAGAATAATGTAAGTGGGTCCATTTCTGGGCGCTCTATTCTGTTCCACTGATCTGTGTGTCTGTTTTTGTGCCAGTACCAGACTGTCTTGATGATGACAGCTTTGTAATAGAGCTGGAAGTCCGGAACTGTGTTGCCGCCAGCTTTGCTTTTCTTTTTCAACATTCCCCTGGCGATTTGGGGTCTTTTCTGACTCCATACAAATTTTAGGATTGTTTCTTCCAGCTCTGTGAAAAATGTCAACGGTATTTTGATAGGGATGGTGTTGAACATGTAAATTACTCTGGGCAGCATTAACATTTTAATGATGTTTATTCTTCCAATCCATGAGCATGGGATGTTTTTCCATCTTTTTTGTGTCTTCCTCCTCCATTTCTTTTGTAAGTGTTCTGCAGTTTCTAGAGTATAGATCCTTTACCTCTTTGGTTAGGTCTACTCCTAGGTATCTTATGGTTTTTGGTGCTATTATAAATGGAATCGATTCCCTAATTTCTCTTTCTACAGTTACATTGTTAGTGTATAGAAAAGCAACTGATTTCTTTGCATTGATTTTGTATCCTGCCACATTACTGAATTGCTGTATGATGTGGTTCATATGTACAATAGAATACCACTCAGCCATCAGAAAGGATGAATACCCACCATTTGCATCGACATGTATGGAACTGGAAGGGATTATGCTAAGTGAAATAAGTCAAGCAGAGAAAAGTCAATTATCATATGGTTTCATTTATCTGTGGAACATAAGGAATAGCATGGAGGACATTAGGAGAAGGAAGGGAAAAATGAAGGGGGGGAATCGGAGGGGGAGACAAACCATGAAAGACTATGGACTCCAGGAAACTAGAGGGGAGGGGGTGGGGAGATGGGTTAGTCCAATGATGGGTATTAAGGAGGGCACGTACTGCATGGCGCACTGGGTGTTATATGAAAACAATGAATCATAGAACACTACATCAAAAACAAATGATGTAATGTATGGTGATTAACATAATATAATAAAAAAAAGAATAATGTAAGTGTACATACTACTTGCACTAAATACCCGAGGGTCTTAATTTTTTCAGGTCTTTTTTTTTTTTTTTAGAAAGAGAGAGAGGTAGCGAGAGCGCACACAAGCAGGGGAACGTCAGGCAGAGGGAGAGGGAGAAGCAGACTCCCCGCCGAGCAGGCAGCCCAATGCGGGGCTCGATCCCAGGACCCCGGGATCATGACCTGAGCCGAAGGCAGACACCCAACCGCCTGAGCCCCCCAGGCGCCCCTTTTCAGGTCTTGCTGGTGTGTCCTAACGTTCTGTCAAACCGTACCCTAGTTTTGATCACCGCTTGCCCTTCTCTTTCCTCTACAAAGGGATGTGGGCGACAGCTGGGTGGCCCCGTCCTCCACAGGTCATGGGAGCTTTCATTTCACAGCAGGAGAATGTACTGACAAAAAACAGAAAATCTCAAGAAAGAAAACAGGTATCGAGACAAAGCGGGGTCGAGAGAGCCCTTCACAGTGAAAACTTGATATGTATTTCAACTGTAAATTAAACAAAACAACAAAAATGGGATTATTTAAAAGCACATCAATAACTACTCGCATGAATGGGTTTCACCTTACTCAGTGCAGAGGCACATGGGGCTGATTTGAATGGGACATCAATTTAGGGCAGAGGAATGACACTGATGTGAAATTATGTGAATTACTGATTCCCATGTAGTATCTCTTTTTAGAAACGAGAAGGAAGACTCTGTAGATCACTCGGACAAATACTGAATTTAAAAGACTAATAAATGGGATGCCTCAGTGCCTCAGTCATTAAGTGTCTGCCTTCTGCTCAGGTCACCATCATGGGGTCCTGGGATCAAGTCCCACGTCGGGCTCCCAGCAACTTGGGGAGCTTGCTTCTCCCTCTGCCTCTGCCTCTGCCTCTCTCTCATGAATAAATAAATAAAATCTTTAAAACATAAAAAAAAAATTTTTTAATTAAAAAAATAAAAGACTAATAAATGAATGCAACTAAGGAGCTCACAAAAAGCTTTTTTTATTTATAGAATGATAATCATGGTGGGGGGCAGTGCCTGGGTGGCTCAGTCATTAAGCATCTGCCTTCGGCTCAGGTCATGATCTCAGGGTCCTGGGATTGAGCCCCACGTCAGGCTCCCTGCTCTGCGGGAAGCCTGCTTCTCCCTCTGCCCCTCACCCTGCTCGTGCTCGCTCTCTCTCACTCTCTCTCTCTCTCTCTCAAATAAATAAATAAAATTTAAAAAAAAAGATAAAAAAAGCATTGGTCACAATGGACCAAAAAAGGGGAACCTGTCAAAATGGCATACATTTATCTAATACTTTCATGTGTTAAATGCAAGGATTAAAAAACAAATATATCTGGGGCACCTGGGTGGCTCAGTCGTTAAGTGTCTACCTTCGGCTCATTGGTCATGATCCCGCGGTCCTGGGATTGAGCCCCGCATCGGGCTCCCTGCTCAGTGGGGAGCCTGCTTCTCCCTCTCCCACTGCCCTCCCCCTGCTTGTGCTCTCTCTCTCTCACTCACTCTATCTCAAATAGATGAAAAAATAAATAAAAAGGATGATAATCATGGGAAAATAGTACAGTGTGAATTCTTTAATCCACAGACTCTTCTGACCTAAATATGAAATAACATATTCTAAAGTGGTTTTCAAAACATTATTTAAATATGTAAATATAAAAGTATTTAAATTTAAACATAAATAACCACAGTTTAAAGTGTAGCAACCTTACCCATAAATCACCAAGGATGCTTCTGAGAAGAACTGCCCGGGAGGGCACATCATCAGACTCACCTGTCTGGGGAGATGAGCTGTTTGGCTACAGGACCCAGATCACTTTCCAGCAGATCCCAGATATAAATACAGGATGTGTCATCCTGGGCCAGAAACACGGCAGGTCTGGTCAAGGACCAGCGGAGGCCTATGACCGCGTGGCCGTCGGTGCTGCCGTCCCACTGAAGGAGAGGACACTCGGACGTCAGCTGGTGTAACCTGATGCTTCCATCTGAACAGCCGGCCTGGGGACAGGGGTGGACACACTGTTGGTCTCCGTTCTTTCTTCTTTTCTACTCAGCCTCGGCAGTGAGGGACACTCTTCAGAGCACTGGCTCTGTCCTCACAGATTACAAAGGGGAGCATTCACCCTGGAGATCCTGATACACTTTGAACCCCCTTCCCCTTCCCCAAACGGCCAGTAATGAATTCCGTGAATATATAAACAGGTGTTTATCTTTAACAAAGTTGAATATGGCTAATGCAACCACAGGCTGTTAAGATCAGCTCCAGAGAAACCAGTAACCCACCTTTTTAAAAAGATTATATAAATGTGAACCAATAATACGATTATATATTCCCCTCGGATTGAGATTTTTATAAAATAAAACTTGGCCGGTTTAGTAAAAGCCCGCATTTTTAGCTTCAAGAAGCTTAACTCCTTTTTAACGCAACATATTTAATCCTTCACGTCCTTCCTCGAAAAGAGCAGAGGCACAAGTTAGCAACCACAAAATGCTCTGTGCACTCGCGGATTGGGCACCTAAGTGTCCATGGCGGGTGAGAGCAGCCAGGTCCCCCGCTGCCGGGTGGGTGGAGGGAACCGGGGTCACCCTGGCATTAAGCACGTGCAGTCAGCACTGGCTAAAGGATAAGCACACGGAGATCAAAGCAGGTTATCCATGCTGTGTCCTACCCAGTGAGCACTTCTCGCTGCCCAGATCTTGGTTTCCCAGCACTTTTCTCCTGCCTGCAGCCAGGACTCCCTGGAGAAATGGCTGATTCTGGAGTTGGCTGTACCAGAAAGCACAAGTCAGAAAACACAGGAGCCAGCCTGACGGGCGTCCCCAGGGCAGTCTGAGCAGCAGAGACAGTGCAGCAGAGGACGTGACCACCAGGAGAGTCAACAGCCGACAGCCATGTGTCCACCTGACGTCCTGAGTACACACATGCGTGCCTGCGCACGACACGAGGGAAAGCCTTCCTACCAGCGCACAACCAACCAAAAACACGAAACTAAGGGCAGGACTAGGAAATCGCCGTTTGCCAATCACCCCAATAACGGATGTAGGCAAGCCGTGCCGATGGATGCCCGGACCGAGTGACCGGCGGGGGGCGCTGGGGAGCTGGGCGTGGGGGCGCCGACCGAGTGACCGTTTCTCTCCCCACTGACACACGGGAATCAGACAGGGAAAGGAGTGACTCCAGTGGCAGATGCGGGTCTGGGCAAACCTGAATCTAATCGTGAGGAAACATCACGCAGAATCAAACTGAGGAGCCTAAGCCCCTCAGGATGTCTGAGGAACCGTCCAGAACCGAGTGAGATTCGTGACCCGGGTGTTATTTTGCTATAAACCAGGCCGTCGTCGATCCGACCCGCACATTGGATGCCAGGGCTGTTCCAGTGCTAACCTCCTGCTGGTCAAGGCTGGGCTGCAGCTGCAGGAGTATGACCCTATTTTTAGGAAACCAACACCAAACTATGGATAAAGTATCATTTCTGCAACTGCCTGTCGGACAGTAAAGCAGGGAGATCCACACACAGACCGGGAGAGAGGACGGAGCCACGGAGCAAAGAATGTGATGTGACGGGCAGGTTCCTGTAACTTCCCCGTAAGCCCCAGCTATGTGAAGAGAAAGACTCTTCAGACCCATTCCACAGCGACGTGGAACGCTCTGCACGGGCCACGCAGAGGGGACCTTCCGCCGTGCAGCCCCCTGGCACCTGCGTGCGCTGGTGAGTGACCAACTTCAAAGAAATCCCCAGAGATCACTGCTAGTGTTTTGCTGCCCAAACAGAAATGGTGCTTTAACAACCGACTTTCTTACCAAGAATACTGGTTCTCCGAACGGTGAAAAATCAATCACATTCACTGTGACTGGTCTCATGCCAGGTTGCTGGGGCTTGTACAATTTGGGAGATACTCTCAAATCTTGTCTGGTGCCATGACTTATAAGACCCTGGTAATGAGAAGACCAATGGTGATAAAAAGGACTAGGCATGAGGTTGGATAAAAGCAGTTATTCTTGAAACAATTACACAGCATCGTAATAAAAGCAAATAATAAGTTAATCTTTAATGAAGATTTGCCAAACCACCAAGAAAGGAGAATGAGTTACAGAATGAGATTTAAACTCTTACTTACCACATCTGTGCCCACAATGAAATGACTAGGGTCTGAAGGCAGAAACTTCACATTCAGGGTTCGTGTGGCCCCCCAGAATTCATGGCCTTTATGGGAAAGGCTGGAAAGAAACAGCAAAATGAGCAGATGAACTGTTTGGCGCCAGAGGGCTGACAGCACTTCACACATTGACCCTTCGCCGGGTGTCCCTGGACATGGAGCTGGTGGTGTCCCCTTTCCTCTGTGGCTCTTCGCTGCTCTTTTCCCATTTCTTTTTCTGTTGCCTAAGCTCTAGACATTCCTCCAGCTCTGGTCTCCTGTTCACTAATTCTTTCTTCAGCTATGTCTAATGTATTTAACCATTCACGTACTTTAAATTTCAGAGATGATCATTTCTTTCTAGAAATCTTTTAGATTGTCCTATTATCCCAAGTTCTTGTTATGCTGAGCCCATTCATTGTGCCGTGTAAATGTTTCTTCAGGCTTGCAGTCTTTATAATTTTTCTTTCTGAACTGCTTCCTCTAAGAGCCCTGGGAGCCCATCTTCTGGGAGCATCCCCCACGTAGGAGTGCTGACAATACTGACTTCATCTTGTGCGTGTCCTCTCTTGGAGCTACGTGTTCTAGGCCCCTTGGAGAGTAATATACACACCTCAGAAATGACCACTGAGGCCAGGACTGGGGGAGGCTTCCTTTGGCATTCCACCAATTTGTTAAAGATAACAAAGGGTCCCCCCTTCCTGAGACACAGATGGCACCATGAGATCTAATTAAGGATTAGCTTGCAATGAGGCGCACACGAACCCTCTGAGGTGTATGTGAACCCTCTGACCTTACTACAGTGCCTCTCTGCACATCCCCTTACTCTATAAAATCTGTGCACTAAGGTCTGAACTTGGCAGAGCACAGCTCTGGATGGTCACCTGCTCAATCCTCCCTGTCAGTAAGTTACCCTGAATAAAACACTGAGTAAACTGGATGGAGTCACTTGCTTTGTTTCCCGGTCTCAAAGTGCCTCCTCAGTAGGAAGGATGGACCCTCCTCCTCCACCTTCGAACACCGCCTACCGGGCAGCTGTCCCAGTGTCTGATGGTGAGCCACTGGTCTGAGACTCTGATGCCACCTCCCCAGCCTGTGGATCCCAGCCCCCACCGGAAGCTCGGGGTTTCAAGTCTCCCGCGCCCCCTTCCCTTTCCTGGGTTGGGGTGGGGCTCCCTGAGTTGCTCTCTCACTGAAGGGGCCATGAACTCAGGAATCCCACACAGGGCTCTCACCTCTAGCCCCCAGCGTCAGGCAAGCCTGATGCGTCACTGCTCGCATGGCCTGAGCCCCGCACAGCCGAGAAGCCTGTGACAGCCACGTTGACACCCAAGCCTCCACACCACACAGAGGCTTGCACACTAACTTCAAGCTCCATTCCTGGCTGGCACTGTCCCCTTCTTCGTTGGAAAAACTCTGTTTAGTTTATTGTTAGTTTTTACGTTGTACAGTGTACGTATTTGTAACAGGAAAGGGCCCATGGCTGCCCCTTCTGCCAGAAGTTGGGAATCTGGCCACTGTCTCTCATACCCACACTGAGCACTGCCACTCTCCCCGGTCAGCTGAGGACTCTCCGGTCTGTGCCTCCAGCTGAGATCCCTGCGGTGGAGCTGGCTGCCTCCTGGCCATCTCCACAAGCAGCACGAGCCCAGCCCCCGCCCCCTTAGCTCCCGTCCCTCATCTTGTGTACAGTGCACCTGGCAGCCAAGCCAGATACCTGGTGAGAGGCAACTCCTCCAAACTCCACCCCTTAACTGGGATCAACCCCTCCACATGCAAGGTGGCCACTGTGCTTCAGGCCCCATCCTTCTAATCAACCCTGCAACAGCCTCCTGTCTCCCTTGCTCTGTCCAATCCCACACTGTCGCCAAGCGGATCACTCTAAGTCACAAATAAGACACACCACTCTCTGCCTTAAAATCCTGTGCCGGCTCCCTACCCCCCGCAAGAGAGCCGTCTGGAGCCTGCAGCACAGCAAACACTCTGCGGTCTGGCCCGCGACTCATCCCCACCTCTCTCGACAGCAAACCTGCCGGCAGTTTCCGAGGTGGGCCGGGTGCTCGCGCCCCTGGGCCTCCCATGTGCTGCTCCCTCTGACTGAGCACGCTCCTTGTCTACCTCCCGTCTCAGCTGCCACCTCCACAATCCACGGGGAAATTCAGCGAGGGCCAGGGGTCAAAGGTACCAGCTGACTTCTTTAAACATAAAGGATTCCCTGTAGGTATCATATTTAAACCAACTAAAGGTGACTTACAATCCAAAGCAGGTACAAATCCATTACTATAACCCAGAGGCATTCTAAGAAGAATCACGCTAATATAAAAAACTTTTCAAGAGTAAATCGCATGCTGATAGCCCCCAACTGCAATAAATGACAAGAAAAAAGGTGTTTCGGAAATAAATTTACATGGAACATATAAGTACCACAAACAATATTTGTTTTTTTTGTTTTTTGGGTTTTTTTTTTAAAGATTTTTTTATTTATTTATTCACAGAGAAAGATACAGCGAGAGAGGGAACACAAACGAGGAGTGGGAAAGGGAGAAGCAGACTCCCCGCCGAGCAGGGAGCCCGATGCGGGACTTGATCCAGGGACTCCAGGATCATGACCTGAGCCGAAGGCAGTCGCCTAACCAACTGAGCCACCCAGGCGCCCACCACAAACAATATTTGTATATTTAATAAAAATTTTTACATCACATTAAGTTATAGGAGTAAAAGCAGAAATTGAAATTTCTGAATAAAACTTTCATACTGATGTTTCTGGTTCCTGAAACTTACCTATTTAACTTCAGTGTTTTATTAAAACTGGTTGAAAAATAGTCAAGTTTTTGTAGTACCAATTTATAAGATAGAAATTATTTTAATCAAAGAAAAAAATGTTAGCTCTATACCTGGTCTATAGTTATTACACTGACTCATTAATATTAAACTAATTGAGCAAAAATACAGGGTGAAAAGTTGGATTTTTCAATGCATACCCGACCACACATTTTCTGTATGCGCCATTACCTAACGTTATTTCCTTCTGTGGGAAATCGGTCTTGGGAGAGGAGAGAACGTTCTGACTCAGAGTGCACAGCCTTACCTGTCGCTCAGCCGAATCACAGCACTGTGCACCAGCTTTATCCTCCCTCCAGGTATCAGACCTAAAAATAGGCAAACCATAAATAAATGCACCTCTTAATACAAGTTAAACCAAAATCCAATTACAGTTGCCTGGAATCATTTTTCATTGCTTAAATATCTGTTAGGATATTTAATTTAATTAGGAAATGACATCAAATCGTGGGCCCATAAAGAGTGTTCCCTCCCTAATGCAGGCGAGGTTCCTGTAACCTGCCTTATGAGAAAAGGACTATGGAACCAATCAAGAAGCCTTTACATTTTTAGATCTGATAAAATAAAAAAATGGTGGTACACTAAGCAAAACAAAACAAAACAAAACCCAAACCCCTTAAGTTCCCAACAGGAATAGTTTGCTGTAAATGCCCACTGGTGGTATTATGCTCATCAGAAACGCCCCGGACCTCCCTCCTACAAATGCCTCGGCCACCCGGTGGTCACCTGCTCCTCAGCGCTGGCACCCCCTTCCCTGGACTCCCGAGCATTTATGGCCACAACTCTGACCTCTCAGCCATTCACTGGCTTTGCCTCCTGTGTCTGTCCCCAATATCCTCCTCCCTTTTTTTGTAATTACTGCAAAGGAGGGATCTAAAAATGTATACTGAAACCCAAATTCTGGGCAAGGTACTGCCTAGACCCTTGGGAGTATAGAGACCCTAGCCATACAGATGAATTCGACTTGCAGGAAGTGTGACTGTATTACAGTGATGGGCTCTGCCACAGTTACAACTCTGACGGGAGAATGTTCTGTGATGACACAGACTTGAAACTGCCCTCCACTTTCCCCAGCACACCGTCCTCCTGCAGGAACCCCAGTGCTGAAAGCCTCGGCCCAAGTGTTACGACCTCCCCTGGGAAGCCTTCCCTGCCCTGGGTCCACAGCCCTTACGAAGCACTTCTTCTGACGTACAGGTCACATCGCCGATGGCCAGGGCTGGTGTGTCAACCTCCCCATAAGACAACACTCCCGGGGGCAGAGCCAGCATCCTGTCACCTTGCTCCCCTGGCACCCAAGACAGGGCCCAGCTTGTTGAGAGCCCTTCATTGATGGCGAGTGATGAGCTGTAGCCGTGATTTGAGTTAGCACTCATGTCACACACACACACCGCAAACGCTCCCATGGGCATTCAATGGTCACGCTCTTCCAGCACTGACTACTGGTATGGATGTCAGCCCCTTTGCTTTTCCCAAAAGCAAAGCTGAAACATGGTCAGAGTTTGGGTAAGTGGTCCTACAAATAAAAGGAGTTTTTATATAACAACACTTAACGATGAAATACACACTGCCCTATAATAACTTGTGTGTGACTATTCCATATTACCACGAAGTATTTTCATGCAAAATGATTTCGTCTCCACAGGCAGATTATGAACTAACTGTGGACTGAGACTTTCTAACTCCTCACCACCATCCAAAATTTCTAAAAAATGGCCTGGTCGGGCGCCTGGGTGGCTCAGTTGGTTGGGCGACTGCCTCCGGCTCAGGTCATGATCCTGGAGTCCCAGGATCGAGTCCCACATCGGGCTCCCTGCTCAGCGGGGAGTCTGCTTCTCCCTCTGACCCTCCCCCCTTTCATGTGCTCTCTCTCTCTCATTCTCTCTCTCAAGTAAATAAATAAAATCTTAAAAAAAAAAAAAAATGGCCTGGTCATGGCTCAAGTGAGCAACACAGGCAGCCTCAAGATGCGCTCGAAGGCTGCAACATGCTTGGGTCCAGGGCATCAGCCTGGGTGAGGGCAGGGGCAGGCCTGAGCCCGACTCTGAGTCCGGCCCCACCATCAAGCCACACCGAGGAGGGGTGAGCACCTCCCAGACGCTGTCCTGCTCTAACATCCCGAGAGTCTATGAGCCCCCCAAAGGCTCAACACGGACTCAGTATGATGGCTTTGTAATAAGCAGAGAGGAAGCTATTAGAAAACAGTGAGAAAATAGTTACTCTGCCTCAAAAATGTTTACGCGTGAAATCAGTGAGGAAATTCAGCCCTGTTTTCATTAAAGTTAGAGTCCACAGTACTTCCAAGCACTGTCTCTGGCATTCAGCACGAAGCACGCAGTCCTTGCTCCAGGGACACAAAGTGCCCCATCTCTAACCCTCTGGTTTCCAGACAGCAGGAACAAGTGTCAGCCGGGCACACCCCTCACACAGACACGGTGAACGGGGCTGGTCCCTGGAAAGTAAGCAGTTGAACTAATGATGTGAGGACAGAGTCAGGGAGCGCCAGACCCAAGGAACAGACTCAAGAGTCCACTGTGCCCGGGCCTCACGGGAGCGGAGCATTGGATGCCACGGCATCGCAAAGTGCTCGAGCTGACTCACACTTCTGAGATGGAGCAGGGACGGGACTCCAGTCCCTCATCCAGAACTCCTCACACGCCACTGTCACCCAGTTTTCTAGCCCTGCTTACAGGTGCTGCTTGCTGCCAGAAACCAAGCCAGACACCAGAAGCCACAAGCCCCCAGTAAGCCCCCAAGACCCAGTTTTTGACCAGTTTACTCCAGTTCAGACACCCTCCAGCATCTAAAAGGGAAGTTCGGCTGTGAGAACCAGACCAAACCAGTCTGAGCCAAGATGGACCACAGTGCTGACCCTTCACCAGCTTTCCCCCTCATTATCATACTAAAAATCACACCCGGGGGTGGGGATTTAACATGCTAATTAGACATGCAGCGTATGAAGGAGCATGAAGAAGCATGACCGCTAAGTGTGCAAGCCCCCCCAAAATCCCTGCTCTACATGTTTAGACATCACCCTTTTCCCACCAAAGTTTCTTTAAAGCTCTCGCCAACCCCTCCTGGGGAGCCAGCCTGAGGACTCCTTCCTTTGTGCATCCCCCTAGTGCTGGGGCATGAGCCCCAACAAAGTCCTGCCTGGAACCCCCTTTGGGCCTCTTGTCAATTTCTATTGCTTAGCGCGCCCAGGGCCGTTCAGTAAACACTTGCACTCCTCCTGACGTGCAAGGCCGTGGCCGGCCTCTGCCAACTCCAACCTCAGAGAGCCCCGGAGTCCGACCAAGGGAAGACCACCCACAATGAACATGCGTTCAAGCACTCAGACTTCTGAGTGCATGGAAGGAACAGAGAGAAGAGAATGGCACACAGACAGAAACAGAACTTATTAACCCTTCCTGAAATGAAAACATCGTCAGCTGGAAGGAGTATCACCGAATCACTCTGACGTGTCTATTCAGCGGTTGATTACAGTTATACAATATAGAACGTTAATGTTCATTTTTCAGGCAGCTCCTTATTTATTTTTCAAAGTGGTTGTCAGTATCTTTAATCTCTATTCACTCTAGAAAATATTGACTAAATTAACTTTTTTTATTTAATAGTTACCTAAGTCACTTACTGAGCCTGCAATATCTGCCTTTGGTAATTCAACCACCACCTAGAAACAGAATATTGAAATGAGTATTAATGCATGTCAGGGAGGTACCAGGACACAATCGAAGCGAAGTGCAGTTCTAATTAAGATAGCATTCTATATTCGGTACTAAAAACATAATTGCTCCAGAAAAAAGACTGATCATTAACTTCTAAATGTTATGAATCCCTTTCCTTGACCTCTTTTCACATCTCGTCACTCGGACTGGCCAGTGGCCAGAGCCTCAGTGCGTCCTCTGAGAGCCCCCCAAGAATGCATCCCCAGCGCCCTCCCCTCACTCCCCCAGGAAGTCCTGCAGGAGCCTCCGAGTCAGTCCAGTATCGCCCTTGGTGTTCACGTCTTAGCCAAGCATATCATCGTCCGACCACCAGGCATGTATCAGTGCCTGGACTACCACAGAACTGGCAGGTCCGAGAGCCCATGCATTCAGTCGGCGCTGCCCCATGTGTGAGCACCTGGGCACATCCTACTCACCCACACATTGAGAACCCCACTTTCATCCAGGGAAGCAATGTGGAATGACAAACCTGACATTTCTAGTAGAAACAGAAACAAGAAATGGCTTGTGAACAAAGAAACCACATTGCATAACTTGATTGAAGGATTTCACAGAAGTGAAAGATCACATACCTTCTTGAGTAGAAAAGGGGGAAAGCACAAAACTCTGTTTTTTGTAGACAGACGTGGAGATGGGTTCTACCGCTTGAACAGGACTGCGGTGGTTTACAGAAGTCAGGATACCATCTAAGGTTTAAAGCACACAGGACCACATGTGAAGAAGTCACAGAAGAACAACTAATGTCATGTGGGGATCCATCCTCCCCAAACACCACAAAACCAATATGGACCCCAAATAAAATGATGTGTGATCACAGCTTTCAGCATTACTGTGAAACAGAGATCACGGACCTCAAAACACCTGTAAGGATAGAGAGACGTACTCATTCCAACAAGTCTACAGGCACGGAGGGCAGGGGTGAGGTTAAGACTCTCCACGGCACGAGGGAGTCAAAGGCCCAACAGAAACCAGGCAAAAGCGCCGTCAGAGAGCAAACCCAGCTTCCCGGGCAGGGCCTGGTGGGCCACTCACCAACTACAGGGATGGACAGGCTGGAAAGTGGAGCCGGACAAAGGGCAGACGGCAGCGCACGGAGCAGAGACACTCGCCTGCCCCACCCAGTAAAGAAACGACATTTCACAAACTAACAGAATAAAGCTCCTCTGACCTAGAATAGCCATCTATAAAAAGCCCAAGAACAGGGAAAAAAAAAAAAATCAAGACAAACTCCATAGAAAACTGCTGTAAGAAGAAAATGCAAAGTGCAAATCAAAGCATTTGAGATAAAAATTCTCCTGCCCCAAACAAGCACTTAGCAGAAGCCCAGAACTCACCACTCCAGACTGTGTCACATCTCTTCAAAAAGCACTTGGAAATGTACTTCAAGCAAGCAAGCAAAAACAACACGTGCAATCAGAAACCCAGGACAGACATGGAGAGAAAACAGCAAGAAACAAAATGAGAGCGGGGGCTGAACCCTGGGAAAAACCGGTGAAGAGCAGACAAGACTCCAGTTCACCAAGCTTGAGGAGCAAGCACTCGGGGCGGCCCAGGTACTAGGTGGGGGGCACACTGGGAGGAGAGTTGTGCACTGCAGGGGTGGGGGGTGGAGGGGTGAGGGGAGGGGGTGCTGTACACTACAGGGAGGCTGCAAACTGATGAGCCATTCTGGGGGGAAACACAATGGGGGACCACACTGGGGGTGGCCTGCAGGGGGAGGGCACTGGGGGGGGCCACGCTGGGGAGCTGGGGCTGCACTGGGGGGGCACGCACTGGGGATGCACACTGTGGGGAGGGGAGGGGATGCTGTACACTACAGGGGGGCTGCACACTGGTGAGCCACCCTGGGGGGTACACAATGGGGGGCCACACTGAGGGTGGCCTGCAGGGGGAGGGCATGGGGGGGTCCACTGGGGGGGCCTGTAGGGGGAAGATGCTGGTGGGGGTGTGTGCAGGGGCTGGGTCAGAAGCTCCCTGGCTCACTCACCGCTGGGAGCTTAGTGAAACCTGACTGGTCCCAATGACAACATTCAGTGGCAAAAGAAAACGAAGGAGGTGTTTGAATGGAGTCACTTATCTATATACGTACAGTTTAAAAACTTACAGTTCTAGTGTTTTGAACATGGTGGTGAATTCAAATGTTAATTAGTACATCAGGAGCAGTTAGAAAATGCACTTTTTTTTTTTTAAGATTTTATTTATTTATTTGAGAGACAGAATGAGAGAGAGCACATGAGAGTGGGGAGGGTGAGAGGGAGAAGCAGACTCCCCGCCGAGCAGGGAGCCCGATGCGGGACTCGATCCCGGGACTCCAGGATCATGACCTGAGCCGAAGGCAGTCGCTTAACCGACTGAGCCACCCAGGCGCCCAGAAAATGCACATTTTTAAAAGCTATCTTTTGGGAGGTACCTGGGTGGCTCAGGCGGTGAAGCATCTGCCTTTGGCTCAGGTCATGATCTCAGGGTCCTGGGATCTAGTCCTGCATCGGGCTCCCTGCTCAGCAGCAAGTCTGCTTCTCCCTCTCCTTCTGTGATCTCTCTCCCTCTCTCAAATAAATAAATAAAATCTCTTAAAAAAAAAAGCTATTTCTGTAATAGCATCAAACCCATAAGGTACCTATAAACTCATACATTCTCAACAACAGCAACATTGCTCCCAAGGAGGCAAAGGTTGTTTGTTAGGGGACAAAAAACCTTTTTGTATGCATTGTGAAAATTAATAAAGGGAAACCTCACTACAGTGGAGGCGGGAGGCTAGATGGGGAGCCCAGCACTCAGTGCCCATCACTTAGAAACCCCAACATCAGAGCCCTCCACAGGACAGAATCACCAGGGAAAGATGTTCACTGCATCCCCAGCAGCTCAGCCAGTGAGAAACTTCATCACCCGGAACCCATGCTTTTTTCCAGTGGACCTTTCTTCAAAACAACCCTCCCAACTTCCTCCTTCTCCAAGAAGTAATGTCCCTGTCCTGTGTTTCTTGCACTTTCCTAGATCTGCCATAGCCTGCTTATGTGAATTGCAATCCTCTGCCATACCCAAATAAATCCATCTTCTGCTGGTAAAATAACTGGGAGTTTTAAGGCTAACAGTATAAAACACAGTTACACATATAGTACATACACAGATATGCAACGTATGTGTGATATCAAACTCTCGTGGAGGAAGACTAGAAACAGAAAGTTCAAAACCCCACTTGGTTAAGAAATGAGAAGATAAGCCACAACCTGGGAAAAAATACTGGCAAAACACACATCTGATAAAGGACTGTTATCTAAAATAAAAAATTAAAATTAAAAAAAACCCTCTTATAACTCAACAAGGCAATAAATCACTTGTAGAAATGTGCAAAAGACCTGAACAGACACCTCCCCGAAGAAGACACACAGTGGCAAAAAAAAAAAGGCCCATGGGAGCACGCAGGTGGTATACTCCGTTGAGCGTCCGACTCTTGATTTGGGCTCAGGTCATGATCCCGGGCCGTAGAGTCAAGCCCTGCGTCGGGCTCCGTGCTCACCACAGAGTCTACCTGAGATTCTCTCTCCCTCTCCCCGTGCCCCTCTCCCCGCACCTCACGCACGCTCTCTCTCTCAAATAATCGTTTTCTAAAAAGCCTCTGAAGAGATTCTGCACATCGTATGTCATCAGGAAATGCACATTAAAACCATAATGAGACACCACTACACACGTATCAGAATGGCTAAAAAGCTGGCGGTACCACGTGCTGGTGAGATACAGAGCACCAGGAGCTCATACTTTGCTGGGACTGCAAAATGGTCCAAGTGCTGATACAGGCCCTTTGATGCGGCTCTACTCACAGTCGCCAACAAGTGGAATTAACCCCACGCTCACCACCTGGTGGACGGGTAAACAACATGGTGCACACATTTGAGGGACGGGCTGCTGGTGCATGCAGCAGCACAGGGAGCTGTAAATGCAAAATGCTAAGTGAGAGAAGCCGGGCTCAACGGTCTACATTCTGTAGGATTCCGTTCATTTGACATCGGGAAAAAGTAAAACTGTGGAGACAGAAAACTGATTAGTGGCCGATGGCAGAGGAGAGACAGGAAACCAAGTGCGTGTGGGGCACAGGGGCTCCTGGGCAAGAACGGAGAGAAGGACAGAGCGAAGACAATGGGGTCTGAAGGCAGGCCTGCCACAAAGTCAGTGTGACCAGGGACAAGCTTCCCTCTCCCTGAGCAGCAGGGAAGTAGGCCAAGATAGGCATTAGACCACCGATGTCTACAAAGCACTGAGGAAGCCCCAGAACAAGTACCCACCAAGGGGTGGGGGTTGTGGCTGCTGTGATTGTGGGAGGTGGTTGTGGTTGTTGTGGTTACAGCTGCTGTGGTTGCGGTAATGGTTGTGGTTGTGGCTGCTGTGATTGTGGGAGGTGGTTGTGGTTGTTGTGGATACAGCTGCTGTGGTTGTGGTGGTGGTTGTGGTTGTGGTGGTTGTGGCTGCTGTGGTTGTGGTTTGGTGGGCGGTTGTGGCTGCTGTGGTTGTGGTTCTGGTGGTGGTTGTGGTTGTGGCTGCTGTGATTGTGGGGGGTGGTTGTGGTTGTTGTGGTTACAGCTGTTGTGGTGGTTGTGGTTGTGGCTGCTGTGCTGTGGTGGGTGGTTGTGGCCGTGGTTGGTTGTGGCTACGTGATTGTGGCTACAACGGCAAGAAGGATTCACATTAAAGATCCTGGCAGGTGCAGATGTTCAGGGTCCTTTCATCCCCCAAAAAGTGAATCATTTTCTGTCTATTTCAAGCATTCGTGGGGTTAACTAAGCCATGGAACACACATGTACTGATATGCCTTAAGCTAATTTAAAACTAAAAGTTATTTCACTGAGGATTTGAAATCCAGAAATTTAACAAGAGAGAGCATTCTAATCATTGTTGGCCATGAGCGGAGCACCATCTGGGTAGATTTTTTATTTTACTATTCATCAAATGCCTCTTTTGCTCATAGGTCAGACCCCATCCTCTGGGGTAATCTGAAGGAATAAATGCAAAGAAGCTGCAGATGTTCCTCAACTCTGTGATGACTTTTCTAGAAGACACCGGATGGGCAGGTGGGGGTCACTGACCAGTAGAAAACGTTGCTGTCCTGAAGGTCCAGAAGCAATTGCCCAGCTTCACATAATGATGTATCCTAGGGTCTTCTCGTAGGTCCCACACGACGACTGAGCCGTGCACTGTCCCAGCAAACAGTAAAAAGGCTTTAAAAGGGCTAAAGCAGCAACATGTGACCTGGAATGACACACACAGGAAGCCGGAGACTGAAAACATGAGGCCATGGTCATGGGAGCACCAACCCTCCCCATGTCCCACACTGTCCCTGGGACTCCCCCACGAGGAAGTAAGCAGGTGCAAGTCAGCGTCGGCTCCAAGTGGAAAGCAGGGAGGACGAGCCGCTGCGGGACTGGCGTTCACAAACACAGATGCCTCGCACACAGCTGGGCACACAGAGTGTGCACCACAACCCCTCCGTTCAACCCCAGTCGCCAGGCCCAGAATGGCAACGCCATGCTCTGTCATTTTATTTACATCCTGAACCACAAAACCTGTAAAAGTTACTCTTCTCAACCGCCTTGGTGAAAATCAGTGACTTTGAGATCAAGGAGCATATGTATTTTCCCAATCCAAAAGGAAGCAAACCTAAAAGGACGACTCTCCCACTGTACCTGTTAATGAGGGGCTAGGAGAAGCCCAAGAGAGGACTCTGAAAACCTCCAGCCCGCTAAGAAACCCCTAAAATATCCATGACTCAAATACTGTAAGCCAAAAAGGGACCCTTCTAGGGTCCCAGACACATGCCGAGGGCGGCCAACATCTTTATGACACGGATAACTACTCGGCCCCAGTGGACCCATCAGGCTGTGATAACCCCAGACTTCTTCAGTCTGAGTTGATCTTTGAACTAAGAATTTCTAGAGTCACAGTAGACACGTACATGTGTCCCATCACACCTGCACATAGCTGAGGGCGGCCGGGAAGGGAAAGAAATGGCCATCCACCTGCACCTGCCCCTCCCACTGCCTGCCCTTCCTCTCAGGAAGCCTACGACTCTCCCGGGGCCGTACCTTCGACTCACATATCAGGACCTTCTGAGGCCCCGAAGGCTGCCAGATATCCCACACGCACAGCACGTATCTGCTGTCCAGCGCGGGGGCGAACGCGGCTCCGGGCGGCCCATGCACAGACACTACCGTCTGTCTCCACACCTGAGAGGCACATAAGCACGACACTTCTCGATCTGGGGGTAAAAATGAGAGAAGTACTTCTCCATGTCAGTGTTTGCCAGAATCCATGTTAAATGAACACACAAGAATATTCAAATAAGGCTCCTGGGTGGCTCAGTTGGTTGAACGGCTGCCTTCGGCTCAGGTCATGATCTCAGGGTCCTGGGATCGAGCCCCACATCGGGCTCCCTGCTCGGCGGGGAGTCTGCTTCTCCCTCTCCCTGTACCCTTCCCCTTCCCCCTGCTCATTCTCTCTCTTTCACTCTCTCAAATAAATATTTTTTAAATATTCAAATAAATTTCCCCTTAATGAAGAAATAAAGTCCTTTCAGAGCTGCCTGGGCCTGAGGTCTGGGTTTCAACAAGTGGCCACTGCTCCTCCTGAAAAAGGCCCAAGCAGGCCTCATGGTTTTCCTGATGTTCGGCGTAGGCCACACCTCGTCTGCAAGCTACTCTCAGAGAACCAGGTTGCCTGGACGCGATCTGGAGTCAGGCCACGCAAGGGGTCCCTTTCGTGCCTCGCTGAGCCCCTCGAAGCCTATGGTTTTCACACAGCGAGGCCTTCTCCCTCAGAAGCCAAGAGCACCAGCCCTGACACTTCCTCTCCTCGGAACTCACCCCTCTGATACACTGCACATTCACTTTTCCAGTCACCAGCAGGGCAGGACTTCTGTCCACTCGACCCAAAGAAACAGCAGGCCAGCGTTGGCCACATCATTCTTTGGTGTGTGTCTGAGCAGGACGGCACCGCACAGACCCGTGAAGAGCACAGACTGGGGTGTAATGTGACCAGGTCCCAGGTTCACAGGTGAGACCAACTCCTCACTTGGTCAGATAACCTGTCATCTAACCTCATTTTCCTTCTGTTACCTCGAAATTCATGTCACTGAAGGGGTGCCTAGGTGGCTCACTCGGCTGAGCGTCCACCTCTTGGTTTTGGCTCAGGTCGTTATCTCAGGGCCTTGAGATGGAGCCCCACGTCGGGCTCCGCACTGGGCATGGAACCTGCTTAAGATTTTCTTTCTCTCCCTCTGCCCTCCCTACCACCCCGCTCTCTCTCTCTCTCTCAAAAAATAAGTTCATGTTACTGGAACACAAAACAAACTAACGAGAGAAACCTGCACACTGCCCATTGGGGGAACTCATGCCTACCACACCCAAGGACCCTGTCCTGTAAGAACATACGTGCGTCATGTGTTTCTCACAAAGGATTCTAGATGCATGTATATAACCCAAGCTCCCTCGGTTTTGTGAGCTGTGTTACTCATCAGCTCCTGGAGCAAAGTGTGTCTTTAACTCCCGTTTCTTGGGGTGACGTGGGCTGTGGGAGTGTGAACATGCAGGTTTTGCCCCCGGAGCAGACCGAGGCAGCTGTAGAATCTGGCCCTCCTGGTACCACAACATGCCTTTACTGAGTTCAACCATAATACTGTCAGACTGGCATGCTCTCACCACAGGATTTCATTTACTGCCAGGTAAAGCCCTGAATATATTTTTATTCTTTCTATAAGTGCACTGTGTGCTTCTTTGTACATACAGTACAAGAAACAAATTATTTCAGAAACCAACAAAAATACTCTTCCTTTCCTTCCGACACAGACCAGGACAGACTGCAGACTACCTCACCAGCTGGAACAAGGCAAAGAGACGACCAGCTCAAGAAACATCAATTTGACCATGTGAACGCACTCTGCTTAGAGCAATTTAAACGGTCACACGTGTATGTGGCAGCTCAGCCGTGGTGCTCTGGGACCAGCTGAGGGCTGAGGATGAGGACCCATGGGAAGAGCAGCTACTCACTGGTTCACGGAACACCCCTCACGCGGCCCCCGGGGCCCCCACTCCAAGGAACAAGAGAAACCGAGCAACGGACTGGAAGAAACAGGATTTAAAACACACACACAAAACCTCCACTTCCACTCATTTAAATTATGGCTCACTCCCTCTATCGCCTGGGGCCAGTGTTCATGTGAGTCTAACACAGTTTCCTTTTTAGAAGAAAACCGACTTTGCATTTCAGAGTTCTGCAGATGCTAAATCTCTGCTCTGTATTCAGTAAACCCCATGACCTTTACACAAGATGCAACAGTAAAGATCATTCTTTCAACATAAATGCTTGCTATGAGATTTCAACACACTTCAAGGCTCGCCCTTACTCTGAAGGAAGGGCAGGCTGGTATTCAGCTGAGAGGAGTTTTCACTGATATGCAGGGTGCTGTCCTGTGCCCCGGGGCACCAGCCGGGTTCGGCTCCCACACGATCCTCTTCAAGCAAAACCGCAATCACCTTTCAAAGACAGTGAGCAGTCCTTCATAAGCATTTCAAATATATTCACTTTTATAAGAACAAAACAAAACACAGAAATCATTACCTATCACATTTCTGAAAATAACTGCTTAACTCCAAGACATCACAGAAACGAACAGAACAAAATTATATTGTTCTCTCTGCACAATAATAGAAACAAACAGGTAAAGTTCCATTAACATAAACTCCACAGGAGAGTCATTATTTAAACGCTTTTCTAAAAACAACAGGAGGAGGAAAACAGCGGACCACCCAGTTTTCCTGACTAAAGAAGGGGCATAAAAATACGTCAGGGCATATACACCACTGTCTTTCTCATGGGGCCACAGTGAGGACAGAACGAGCAGTAGGTCCTGGAATGGCTCTCACAGGGTCATGTTTAGGGTGACGATGGGTAAGGGGACACACGGCAGAACCAGGAGAAACATCCACCGCAGAAATGGGACCAGCGTGGGAGGTTGGGCTGCAGAAGATGAAGGAGAGCTGGGAGGTTAAAGTCAGCCCAGACCCAACCAGGCCCACTCCGGCCTCACTCATTCCTACTCCAGCCCAACCTCCCTTCTCCTCACCCTGTACCCAAGGGCTCTCTCCTCGTAGCTCCCCATGAACTGACCCTAAAAGAGAAGCCGATTAAGTTTAAAATTACGTGGAAGTATGATCTATCTCATAAAGCACAGACTCTCTCCTAACACAGCACGGGGAGGAAGGAACCACCATGTGTCCAGAATACAGACGGGGAGACAGGCTGACTCCAACCCACACATCAGAGCCCATGTTTGCCACACTGGCCGCTCCCATAAAGACACAGGAGACAACTGAGGGCACGCGAGCCACTTCACTCTCAATAGTTTTAAGGCTCCTTTTGAGAGACTCACCCTGACACGTGGAGGGGCTGAGTGTTCAGAAATAGCTGGAGGTGGACGTGGGCTGAGACCATCAGCCGTGAGTTGATAACCAGCAGGTACAGGGGGTTCAACAGACCATTCCCATCATCTTTGATTGTATTTTGTAAATTTCCAGTTAAAAGTCATGAATTTATTAATTTCGAATAGCCTAGTGTACGCCTGCCTTCACAATGTAGTAGGTCTGTTTTTCAGTCTACGTTTATGTTACAATATAAGCAACTGGTATTGAACTACAGACTCCAAGTACGCAGCCAGCCCTGTGGTGACACACATCGCGAGGAGGCCTGGTGAGCACGTACCTGGCACGCCGCCCGGAGGAAGCTGGACAGCCTGCGCGTGTCGACCTTTGGTGCAGTGGCCACATCACAGGGATCTCCACTCCTGCTCCCTAGAGAGAGCAGGCTGCACTGAACCAACCGAGTGGACCCTAAACTTCATGTCTTAACACACCTTAGGATTCAAAGAGTTGTTACAAACCTTTCCCTGGAAGGAAAAGTCAGAGAATTTTACGTTGTACTCTCTAGATCTACCACGATTTTTTCAAGAACAACTGCACCTTGTTTTATAGGAAGTCTGTACACAGAATCCTACTCACATGCACTAAGGGAAATAGTTAAAGGCATCAATTTAATCACTTTGTAAGTGTTAGGTTTGGGTATCTTCTTTTCTTAGGAGGAGGCTTACCTGAGGAAAGGGAGCAGTAGGGCCCCGGCCACACAGGGTAAGTCCTGTGAGTAAAAATCAACTAGGAAGGCGACCGGCATCAAGCATGGCACTGTGCGTTCTCTGGGCCTTCCACCTAACACTCAGACAACATGTCTGGAAACCGAACCTCCTATCTGAAATTCTCTATTAATGAGAACAGGCCCATTTGAAAGCACTTGTTTGGAATATGGACTCTCCCTCTGTTTAGGAATAAAAGTGTTATCAACCCTGGTCAAGGCCCACACTGGGCCTTTAGCTCAGTGCTAATATTAGTGGTTCCCAAAAGCTAGTCTGCTTTTGCGAAGAATACTGGGTGTCTCCCCAGTCACACACAAACAGCCACACTGGAAGAAACGGTACAAGAAGAGATAACAGGAAAGGTAATAAACACAACACCAAAAATAACGTCAAGACACTGCACTCAGTGCTCAGAGCAAAGACCTGCTCACCCCCTGACACGGCCGTGCCCTCTCCGGGGTGCTGGGTCCACACCCCTCTGGTCTCTATCTCTTCAGTCTGGATGTCTCTGTCAACATTATCTTCATTGTACTGAACATATGCCTTAAAAAAAGAGAGATATGCTGGAATTAGCACTGGGTCTCAACTTCAGAGCAATTTCTCATCGTTGGAAAGAAAAAAACAAAAGTTTTAAAGTTAATAGTGAGCCTTCTTGCTTTTGTCAAAGGTGTTGTGGTAGAAATAACAATCCTGCAAAGACCGCTTGTGTCTTAAATGTTGATACATACAGGCCTAATTTTTTAAGGTATTTTCAAAAGGTCACATTAAACTGTTAGGTAAAAATTGCACAGAAGTGGAAGGAGACCCTGAGGCAGAGTCTTAAGTCCCAGAAGGGGAGTGACAGAGTCAGGAGCTGGAGGTGAGGGCAGTGATTTTAAAAAGCTACGCATTAAAAGCCTGGAGCTCAGCATCCTGACCTTGAGGCTTCCAAGACCTTGGGGCTGCTGGATCAAGAGCCACATGGGTGGAGCATGCGCCCTCCTCCACCCCTGCCCCAAGGTAACCCCTAGACTCTACAGGATGCATTTGCTTTGCAGGTACAGTCCGACCCTAGGAGAAAGGCCCCCAGGATGTTCCAGTTCAACCTCGTAGGGGCAAAAACTCCCCATCCCAACCTGTGGGAAGTTTCCCAAAGGACTGAAAGCACGTCCATTAGACACAGCTCCTCCCAGCCCAGACCCAATAACATCCAACCTAGCCCCCTCTCCACCTTCAGACTGTCCTTCTGCTTTAACACACTGCTTTGTGCTTGCTGCTTTCCTTCTGGCGGTCTTTATTCAAACACGGATCCCCACAGAAATCTTCTCATTCACATAATACAGAAACTCCCTCATCCCTGACAAAACAATTTAGCTTCGGTTTGAAAATACTGCCACCTAGTCCACCAACTTCCTATTCTCCCAGAACATACTCTTGTCTTTCCAAAACCACACACAACTTTTTTTTATTTCGAAGAGGTACATGCTTCAGTAAAGATAAATGTGTTACTAATAGCTTTGAGATGAGCAGGTAACCTACACAAGGGTGGAGGGAGCCAGCAGTGAAGCCGACACTAATCGGTCAGCTTTCTGAGGTTTGCCTGTGCCCTTCTTCCTATGGAAAGAGTCTTACAGACGGAGTGTACCCAAGCACCTATTGACCGAAGACAGCATCAGGGACAGAAGAAAAATGTTCAGAACCTTTACAACCTCGTTGGGAAGTTGGACAGTTACGAAACTAATGCTTACAATACTACAGGGGAGTACAAAGTGTGTGGAGTAAGTCTGGAGTAAGAAAGAGAATTCAGTGGAAGCCATGAGGAAGGGATTCACCTAAGAAACGGACGTGGACACTGAGGACTGGGCAGGTAGAGGAGAGGAGGAAAGCAAGGTAACAGAGAGGCATGCGGGGATGGCGGGTTGGGGGGCGTGGAATGCAACAGATGGGATGATGGGCAACGGATCCAAACATAACATTCTGCTTGACTTTTTTTTTTTTAAGATTTTATTTATTTGCTAGAGGGAGACAGTGTGGGCAACAGAGAGTGAGCGACAGCACAAGCAGGGGGAGCGGTGGGCAGAGGGAGAAGCAGGCTCCCCGCTGAGCAGGGAGCCTGATGTGGGACCCAATCCCAGGACCCTGGGATCATGACCTGGGCCGAAGGCAGACGCTTAACGACTGAGCCCCCCAGGCGCCCCTCTGCTTGACTTTAAATAAAACATCCGCAAGTTTGGGAGCGTGCCCTATTCCACGTGGGCTCAGGAGCCTGTGGAGCATCCGTGGACATGAGCACAATCTTTCCAGGGTAATGAGCACCACATGATGAAGGGGTTCCCTTTTCCTCAAGTCTACATCCTTCCCACACCATTCCCAAGCTCTAACATTCTGGAACAAGATACAGTATAGCACAAGTATATCTTATTGTACTCTACTTGTTAATGCATCTTATACTAACCTGCTTCGTGTTTTTTTTCCCAAAGTTTCTGATATACATGTCATATTCATTTACTGGCGGTAGATCCAGGAGAGAGAAAGTGAATGAAAAATCTAAGTCAATGAGCCGAAGCAGCTTTGTACTGCGTGTCCTTTAAAATAAATTGGAAACAAGAGAAAAGTTAATAATATACAAAGGAAAGTACAGGGAGAGCATAAGGAACCTTATAATCAAATCAGGTAATTGTCGAGGAACAAATTTTCCGGTGGCTGTGAGTCTGAGGTATTGAAGAGTTGTGAATAATAAGACAGTCATGCATACACCAGCAATGTGAATATAGAATGAACCAAATTTTTGATTATTCTAATTCCGTGCACCTGAGGTGAACACAAAATAAAGTTATGATATTCGCATGCCTAGAATTTTCATGGAGAGCAATTATTTCACTTCATGAATGGATGTCTTGATCAGAAGGATTACATTCTGTGATGTCACCTGGGCGGTGGCCAGGTGCACGCTGTCCTTTAGGCCACTCTTCCGAGATGACCAGACAGGAAGTGGCCAAGCAGCACATAGCATAGCCCATCGCCCCTCCCACCCAACGAGGCCGGCAAGATGCTGCTTGCACGTGGATTCCCCTGGCCTCGCACACCGTCCTTCTCCACTCACCTGAGCTGGTCTCTCTTTCCTTCCCGGCACCCTCATGTGGCGTGCCCAGGGATCAAGCCCTGTACTCACTGTTCGTCACCCCCACTGGAACATGAGCTCTGCCTGGCCAGTGTTTGCTTTCTTTCATTTACTATGACTTCCACACAGCTGGTGCTCAGTCTGCATGTGGGGCATGGTCTCCACCACCTGGGCAGCTCACAAATGAGATCTGCTCCCTCCCCATCCTTATGTGCCCATTCTCGGACTTTCCCACTAACTGCCACCTTTCCATAACCTTAGCCTCTGGCCACTGTCACATCTTCCCCAATTAGTACCTCCAGTCCTCCATATTCAGTATAATTTCTGACCTAAAATAATGCATGTAACACACGTACACTTATGTATCATAATACGGTAACATCCCACGACCTGCTGCCCAACCCCAGAACCAGAAACCGTGGGATGACCTGTGCCCACATAGGGTCCCCCACTGCCCATGACAATCAGCATACAGAACTTGGTAACTATCATTTTCTTGCTTTGTAAAATATAATTTCATCTTACATTTATATATGCCTAAACATTACACTGTGTGGTTCTGATTATCTCTGAGTTCATAAAAATTACATTAAGCCGTATGTAGTTTCCAAGACTTGAATGAGGTTAAAGCAAAAAAACCTAGCCATAGTGGCAAAAACTGATTTTACTACCTTATATTTTATAAGGACAACAAAAATTATATGAAAACTTATTATTATTCATGATTTATTTGTGCATTAAGCAAAGTTTCCTGAGTACCCACTAAAGTCATATTTGAGCCAGATGGAATGATGGCTTTTAAACACAGGTTTTTAAAAAACATTTAATTTCTACATTTACTCCTAAATCATACTTGAATTTAATATGATAGACCCTTTACTTGAGACTATACCCTTTGACTTTCATAAATTTCTGATTTTATAGATTTCTAAGTTATAAGCGTGGACTGTGACATCTGGGAGCCCTGGGTTCCAAACCCGAGCCTCACTCTCCTCATCTGTAAAATGGGGCTGCAGGGAATGAAGTAGTTGACACACAGGGAGCACAGTGCCTGGGACACAGAGGGAAACTCACACTACGTGCACCCAGCTGTTAGCACTCTTGACCCTTACAAATTGCTCAGCCTCCTCCTCTGAGAATGGACACAGGAACGCTGAGCTCTCCAGTGTGCGAGCACTAGGCAGCACTCGCTGCACCTCGAGTGGGAGCCCCACGCGGAGACGCAAGGAGGGCCAAGCTCATGCAGTTCAGGGAGCGCAGGGCTGTGACCCCGGGGTGACCCCAGAATCCACAAACGCTGGACGCCAAGCAGCAGTAGACATCGGCGCACTTCACTGTTAACATGATAGTGGAACATGGAGACACGGAGCACAAATTTAAGAACATACCTAATGTCGGTAGTGAAAATAAAAAGAAAAGCTCTATTCTTTTAAAGCATACTGAAGTATATTAAAATTCCACAATACCCTTCACAAATTCCCAACACACCTACTTTTGCTTAAGGGCCTGAGTCCAACTCTTCTGACGGCGTGAGGCAGTTGCAAAATCAACAAAAATTCCACAAACAGGGGCTCTGGCAGGGGAACTGTTTTCATCTGTACAAAAAAAGAAAGCTATTTTCTGAAACTGAAATATTTCTTTCAAGCGGGACAGCTCCCCTGGCTTCCGAGACACTGGTTTCACTATAAGCCTAGAGAACAGGCTATGTATCAGCACTTGCCAGCTCAGTTCTGTCTCCTCCGCAGCAAGCGCAAAATACAAGGGTCCTAGGGGCACCTGGCTGGCTCGGTCAGAACAGGTGACCCTTGATCTCCAGGTCGTGAGTTTGAGCCCCATGTGAAGTGTAGAAATTACTTAAATAAATAAAACTCAAAAAAAAAAAATGAGGATAATAATCATTCTGCCTAACCTTCATTTGGATTATTATATCAATTACTAATCATAATTAGTTGTATTAATTGCTAATTATTTTACTAGATAATTTAAAGTAGTATATCATCCAGTAATATTTTTAATATTGCCCTATTGACCTTTGGTGCTATGTTTAATGCTAATTTTTTTATCAGAATGTCATAGCTTTCCCTTTAAGTGACTTTAAGATATTTACTTCTACTCTTACAAGTGACTTTATCATAGCACAACGCCAAGAACTTTTGGGCAGAACACATTTCTAATTCCGTACAGGAAATCCCTGGGAAAGAAGTCTTGAGACACATCTGGCAGGCCACATTCCTGAACCTGTCTCCCCGAACCGGCCCTCAGCTCCGCAGCCACCGCCCAAGAGGCTCGCATCTGCTCTGAGCCTCCCGCTGACCTGCTCACTCTCCTCTGTGAGACTCAAAGACAGTGGCATCAGAAAACAGAGCATGCGTTGCAGACGGGCCGACTGACAGCAAGGGAGAAGTGAACAGGGCCACACGCAGGACTGGCGGTTCCCGTGTGAGCGCCCCCGGAAGGACCTGTGCTCACAGCTGCCCACAGGCTGCAGGCGCCGACCAGGGAGGCCACGTGCAGCTTGGGCCAGTACCTTCTGAGCGCCTCACACGGCACCTTGTGGGAGCCCACGACACTCACGCATCTGCCCCCAGTTAGAAGGACTCCACACTCAAGGACCCTGCAGGCGCGGGCGCCCGCCGTCCTGAGAGACGGATGCGTGAACCTGTCCTCGAGTCCCTCTCACCCTCCAGCAGACCTGGCTTCTGAGACAGTCTGCAGGACAGCTCGCCGATCCTTTCGTTTTCTGCATTAATGGCTTTCTGAATTTCCTGTATCTCCTTTTTTCTAGCCAGAGGAAGCTCTTCAATTTTCTCTTTTGGTTCCAGCTCGTTAAAGCTATCATCATCTCCATCACAAACCTCAAAGTCATCTTCGTAATCCTACAAACAATAATCACAGTTTTGGAACCTTTAGACAAACTGACTTTAAAGAACACACATACAGAACAAAACATACAATTTAGAATTTAAAACAGACAAAATGCTCATTATGGCCAAGAAAGATTTTTACAGTTAACGGACACCAATGCCCTTGAGTTATAGATCTGTATAAACTGCTGCCTTTTTCTCTAAAAATGAACCACGCTGTATAGATTTACATACACTGACAGGTGTCAGTAACAATAACGTGCTAACATTTTTGTGCTGAGAATGTGACAGGGTGTGTGTGTGTGTGTGTGTGTTTGTGAATATATGTACCCTATACACACACAGAGATTCTTTCCAATATACACATACAGGTTTGGATGCAGTGCACTTAATAGGCTAAATCGTAAAATCATTTAATTACATCACAGTGGTAAGCACTGATAGTACAGCACTTTTTACTGGTAACAAGCCTAAATCAAACAGATATAGAGTATTAAGAGTAACAAAAAGAGAAAGCTTTTAAGTTAATATAATTAAGCAGATTTTAGAACAAATTATTTTTAAGCCGAGAAAAATTTTAACTTCTATACAAACTTCAAAATCATCTTCAAAGCAAGCTCTATATTCATCAGCTCCAGCATTTTCTGAATCAATGCCTTCCTTTTCAATTTCCTAGAGGTAAAAATCAAACACATAAAAAAAAATTCAATCATAAATCTGAATCTTGCAAATAGGTTGGGAAAATGTTAAGATTAATTTGATGTTGCTGATTTTAAAATGTATTTATAAAATGAACATAATCCAACTTCAAATCCCTTAAAAATACCTTCCTACGTGGTGAATACGACCGTAAAGAGGAAAAGTTAACGAACTCATCCTTTTTGAGAAACCACCACGACGTGACGAGGTGCTACTGCGGCTGTCTCCTCTTCCCTGAGCAGTACACAAGCTGCGCAAATCCCGGCCCCTCAGACTCAGAGCACACCTGCCCCATCACTCCAGCACTCCGGGCCGGGCAACAAACACAGGGGGAGGGGTGCCCCGTCAGGCTCTGGACGTATGGGGGTGCTGCACACATCATCCCAAAGCCATCCTGGAAGAGGTACCCGGAAAACTGAGTAGAAACATGTTCCAGGTTTCCAGGATAAGAGGGTAGCAGAAATGAAACAGATGTTTAGAAAACTCGTATTTTCCCTCCGAAAGCGGTTTCTCTTCTTATCCACATCTGCTCTTCCACGTCGCAGGAGCCCCCCCAGGCCCCGACCCTCCCCCACCATCATCCTCAGCCCAGCACCCCCATCCCGGCCATGTCCCCTCTCATTCACTCAAGTTCAGAGACATCCTTCTTCAGAAAGAAACATGACTGCACCACACCTGCTTTCACGCCCCTGCCGGATGGCCCCCACACACCACACGTTCACCAGGGCTCTGGTTCTTACTCTGGAGGGGAAACAGTGAAGGGGAACTCTGGCAGCAGCGTGGGCCTGGGGGGCAAAGGGGCAGGATGACAGTGGCCGGGCTTTAGGGAAAAAATGACCCCGAGTCTGCAGGGGCAAAAACTGGATGGATGTCAGCACCTCCACCAAAACAGGCACAGAGGAGGGAGAGGGGGCCTAGGGCGAGAATGTGGTGAGTGCGAAGAGGAGACAGGGGCATCCAGGAGAGGACTGAGCTCGGGGAGCACCCAGTGGCACAGTCTGCCACCTGGAAGTGCACCTTTCTTCTCTAGAACCCAGGGCAGTGCCGTGCAGTAAACAATGCCCAAAACCAACGCTTGATGCCACAACCCAGCTGTTCCTCTAAGTGGCTACCTGGCCTGACTTTCTAAATAGGTACATTCTTGTATGCCCACAGGACTGAAAGGATTACTAAGGACACCTCATTGCCTGGGGGTGGGGAAGAGTTATTTTGTACAGATACTTTATAGGAAAAACTGCCCCCTAAAAAAGATCCTTTTTGGCACACTGTCATATAAAGTCACTGGACATTAGTGAACAACGCACCGACAGACAGGACACCTGCTAAGTGATAAGAGAAACAAAAGCAAATGCTGTGTTTTTGCAGGAGTTCTAAGCAAACCTTGCAGCTTCACACTGCTGAACCCCTGGCACACATACCCACAGGGGCTCTGCACCACGTCCAGGGCGATCCCTCCACTCGACTGGCAAACACTTCACCCCAGGGTGTGCCAGGCGCTCTGCCAGGGGCCACAGGGCTGACACAGCACCCTTTGTGGAGCTAGAGCCCAGCCAGGGACGATGACAACAAAGTGCCACCAGCAGGAGCTCAACCACCCCTTCCCTGGGGCCTTAAGTGGAGCACCATGGTGCTTTCTACTCATCAGCTTTGGAAAGAAGTACTCAGAGTTATCAATGATCTCCCCTTAAAAGAAGATAGTGCCATTTCCTTGATCTCCCTAGTTTGGCATATATTTCTGAAAATTATCTGTTACCTTGACTCTGTTTCACCGATAATGAATCACATCTTTTGAGACGTCTCTAGTTGGTTTCTGCAATTCTCCTCAACCCTCTCGCATTTAAATACAGAGCAGTGATGAGAAGGCTGGCTATTCACTTGGCTGGACCCTCTTCCCTGCCATGCTCTTTGCAAACCCTTCCGCTGCCCCCACAGAGGACGGCCACGGCGTCCAAGCACACGCACAGTGAGCCAATACTCTTCCAGGCCTTCAACAGCACCCCAGCCTCTCCAATGTCCCCTTCACACCTATGCTCTGCGGTCTAAAAGGAGTAATAATTACCCTAATAAACAGGTACTATGAAAGCAAAGAATCACCAGTAAAAGCACACCTTTGGATAGGAGCACCCAAAACGGAAAGACGCGCTCTCCTTACCGCCATTTCTTCTGTCCCGTGCCTCTGAGCCAGCTTCCACGCCGACGCGCCCTCTTCCCGGCTGTGCTGGAAGACAGCAGAGCCAGTCAGCAGCACGGGGAGGGTCTCCAGGGCAACCCCAGAGCCCACCCCGCCCCCCACGGAGGCGCTGCCCTCAGTGGCTGAGGACTGGGGTTCTGGCCCCAAGGTATACAAACAAGATCACCGAGGGCAAGTAACCTCAGTGCCTCGTTTTCTCCTCTGAGAAATGGGCATAACAACAGTACAGTGGTTCCCCCCTGCCTTACCCACAAGGATGCGTGCCAAGCCCCCCAGCGGAGGCCTAAAACTGTGGTCGGTACCAAACCCTACACGTACTACATTTTTCCCTATACATACATACCTATGATAAAGTGTCAGAGATGAACAATAACTAATAATAAAATAGGACAATTATAACGATATACCGTAATAAAAGTTATGTGACTCTGGACTCTCTCTCTCAATATATCTTACCATCCTGCACTCACCCTTCTCGTAATGACCTGAGATGACAGAATGCCCCAGGATGAGATGAAGGGAGGTGAGTGACGCAGGCGTCAGCTTAGCCTGACCTTCTGGCGATGCGTCAGGGGAGGGCCATCTGCTTCCAGACCCCTGCTGACCACGGGTGTCCGAAACCGCAGATGAGGGGGCACCAGTGGACCTATTTCCTAGTGACGGGGGCAGATAAAGTACCCCTGTGCCGGCGAGGGAAACGCTGATTTCCACTCCTGTTGTGGTCACTGGCACGAGGAAGAGACAAGTCCTAGACATCACTACCCACTGGTCAGTGCATAAAACTGGGGACAGGATGGCATATTACCATGACGAGAATAAGGAGCTTTCCACATATCCAGAAAATTACTCTGGCGTATGGTAGGCTTCTCATAATGCTGAAGAATTAAACCAAGACAAACTCAGTGTCGATGCTATAAAACAAATGACCTAATCATAAGCCAAAATGAGATGTCAAGTACCTTCAAGAATGCTTCAGGGGAAAAATATATCACAAATATTGCTTGGCTGGCAAAAAAAAGAATGAAATATCTTATTGATAATTTTTATATTGATCACATGTTGAAAGAATAATAGTATTCCAGAAATACTGGATTATATAACATGTTATTAAAATGAATTTTGTTTCTTTTTGCTTTTTTAATATGACTACTAGAGAATTTATAATTATAAATGTGGCTGACATTATAACTCTAGTGAATAGTGCTAATCTAGAGCTCATTAGAACTGGGAGATGTAAGGAAAACACTATAAAATCTATATATTTTCATCCAACAACTCCAGTTCAAGAATTTATCCACAAAAACTGTGAGGCAGATCTACATCACTCGAACGATGAATTGGGAAAAACAGGATGCTGCATGGGGGGTGGGAGTGCATGTGCAAAACAGAAAAAAGGCATCCCCAACTCCCAAATATAAATATTCATATACAAGTATAAAAGACTATATAGGAAAAAGATTACCTGGGAAGAAGTTGTTGTAAGGCTAACTTTTGTCCTTAGGTGTGGCTTTAGCTAGATGGTCAGTGATCCAACCACTCCCCAAAACTGAATGAATAAAACATACCCACATCAAAATAATATATGCCCTGCGATCTAATTTATGTAAAATTCCATGTGTTTCTGTGTATGCATATGGAATAGAGAGATACACAAAAATATGGCACAAAACGTTAAAGATGATTATCTCAGGGTCATGGGTTTCAGATAACTACCAAAGAAAGTGACAGGAAAAATTATTCTTCAGAAATAATGACGCAAATCTCCTTGCCATATTACCCATGATAAAAAACAACAAACCAGGAAAATGGCTGGATGATAATTAACCCCCCAGCGCTGACCACTTCATAGTTACTAAATATTCATTATGAAGACTATTCTGATGGTAAGTGCAATGATGGTAAGAAACACAAAGACCGGGAATCGCCCTCCACGCGCAGGAGACAGTCACATGGGAGGGCAGGACCATGCATGGCGTGCTGGTGTTGGTAACAAACGTGGGACAGAACTTGCCTGCGAGGTCCCTGGAGCCTGGGCCTCCCTGCGGGAGGACTAACCCTGAGCCAGTGTGCTCACCTGCCAGACTGCGGACCTCTTCCAGAGACAGCTGTGGGGGTTCCTGTCTCCAGGAGCCTGTCCCTTCCCCCGAGGGGCACGGTGTGCTGCCATGAAATGCTGTCACTCTACCCTCCATTCCTCCCTTCAATTCTGAATTTTGAGGCTCCTCTGTTAGGTACGTGCTCATTTATAACTGTGACCTCTCCCTGCGAGCTGATCATCGCCAGGAAAGGTCCTCCGCTTCACTGACCTTCCGTCCCAGTCGATCCTGCTGACATGAGCACAGCCACTCCAGCTCTGACACACGTGACGCTTTATCTGGTGTTTGTCTACTTTCAATCTATCTGAGGCTTTTAATCTAAACGTGTCCACTATGTCCTCCTGGAATCACCACTCAGATCAACCCATCTGCGGGCGAGGCCTGTGTCGGGCTCTGCTTTCCAGGGCATCACAAACTGAGACTCACGGCTAATCTTGCTGCAAAATAAAGTCAACATAAGTGTCTTACCTTCCTTCTTGAGTCTTTATCTTTTCCATTATTTCTTACTAAATCCTCTGCATACCTAGAAAGTATGATCAAATTCAAAATTAATTTTATTTTATTTTATTTTTTTTTAAGATTTTATTTATTTATTTCACAGAGAGAGACACAGCGAGAGAGGAAACACAAGCAGGGGGAGCGGGAGAGGAAGAAGCAGGCGCCCCGCGGAGCAGGGAGCCTGACGCGGGGCTCGATCCCAGGACCCTGGGATCATGACCTGAGCCGAAGGCACACGCTTAACGACTGAGCCACCCAGGCGCCCCTCAAAATTAATTTTAAACAAAGACTTGAGACATAAAGCATTTTTCACCTCCGCGAAGGCTCTTATCGGTATCTGGTATGTCCCATCACATGTCTGAAGCATATCTCGTTACAACTGTGGACACTAAAGTCTTCCTACACTGTTGGTATTTCAGCAGCAATCCAAGAAAGAAAACAGCCTCAGCAGAGAGAAGAAACTATGTGTTTTGACAAAGTTGTATGTGTGTATGACTCTCTATCCTTATGAGAGTTCTAGAACACTCCTGTAATTTTATTAGGCAATCCCAAAAAAAGAATGAGATCCTGCCATTTGCAAGAACATGGATGGGAGCAAGAGAGTATTCTGCTAAGTGAAATAAGTCAGTCAGAGAAAGACAAATACCATATGATCTCACTCATATGTGGACTTTAAGAATTGAAACAAATGAGGAAAGGGGGAAAAAAGAGAGGCAAACCAAGAAACAGACTCTTCCCTCTAGAGAACACACTGCTGGTGACCAGAGGGGTGCGGGGTGGGGAACGGGGGAAACAGGCTGGGGATGAGCACCGGGTGGTGCACGGACGTGCTGAATCACTACATTGTACCCCTCATACTAACATTACACTGTATGTGAACTACACTGGAATTTAAATAAAAACTTAAAAAAGAAATCTAGAGCTTATGTACAAAATGAGATTTTACAAACTCTAATCTGTGATCTTCACAAAACCCACACAAAACAGGTACTGTTACTAGACTTTTACCAGCAGAGAAAGGGCTCTGGGGGGCTACCCAACACGCCCAGGAGAGGCAGACGTGCCGTTCCAGCAGGCTGTCATCCATGCCCTGGCTGTGGCTAGACAGACTTCATCTGCTGTCCGCACCCTGACTGGTCTGGGCACTGGTGGCAGTGAAAGGGGTGGGAGCCCACCTGCGGAAACCCTGCCCTCTCCGGGTATCGAGTGCTGCAGGGCTGGAACCGCCTCTCACACACTCACACCCCAAAGTGAGTACTGATCTCCAAGTTCGTGTGAGCAAATATAAAACAAGCAAAATAGGACTAAGAATTTATAACAAGTTCCAAGCTCCTCAGGTGCACCTAGAATATAATTTGGAGGGGCTGTATCAAGAGTAAATGAAGTGTATCTATAATTCACTCTCATTTACTGGCTATAATCAGGCCCCATAAGAAAGACTCATGTTCACACATTCTACGAGAAGCACGGGGCACACAAGAGTCACCAGAGAACGCACGTTCCTTCCCAGCTGCCGGTGGGATCTCTCCTTGAACTTGCACCCCGGTTTCGGTGTTCACTGTTCTATGAAACAAAAAATTCCATGACACTCATTAGCATAACATAATGAAGTCACTGTAATTGTAAACTCTGTACAACAAGCATGGACTCCAAATTTAACAAAAGCATCGACACCACAGATGTAACTGTTTTGACCAGCTACCTTCAGCCGATTACATAATTAATGCAAGGAAGATGAGTAAAGGTATACTAAAAGATGATTATACATTATCTCAGTATGTAAAAGACATTTCTACTTATCAATTTCACATTACTTTCAGATAAATCTGACTAATTCCTTACACTGCTTTAAAATTATGAACTTTCAAATATAACGTGGCTATTTCATAGATTCATCCACCTATAGAAAAGAAAATTTAAACAACTGCTTTATAAATTCTACTTCTATAATTCTCTCAAATCAAGTGAATTTGTAAAAATAAAATTAAAACCATCAGATTGCAAGCCAAGAAATCCAGGTAGGTGGTTTAAAGAAAGAGGCATCTGTTGAGTAAGGACTGGCTAGAAGCATGGCCTAGAGGGAAGGGCATGAGGCCGGAATGTGACAGGTGAAGACCCCAGGGGACCAGGGCGAGTGCTCCCTAGGGCAGAGAAATCTCACAGACCTGGGGACGGATCCATGAAGATGAAGAGTGCAGAGCAAAGGCAGGACTAAATGACCCACCAAGAAAGTCCAGAGGGCAATACACAACGTGTACCAAAAGCCTTAAAAACAGTTAAAAATATGGCCCTTCTTTTCACTACATCTATGTCTTTGGGATAAATACCCAGTAGTGCAATTGCTGGGTCATAGGGTAGCTCTGTTTTTAAATTTTTGAGGCACCTCCACACTGTTTTCCCAAAGTGGCTGCACCAGCTTGCATTCCCACCAACAGTGTGAGAGGGTTCCCCTTTCTCCACAACCTCTCCAGCGTTTGTTGTTTCTTTCCCTGTCCATTTTTGCCATTCTAACTGGTGTAAGGTGGTATCTCAATGTGGTTTTGACTTGAATTTCCCTGATGGCTAATGATGATGAAAATTTTTTTCATGTGTCTATTGGCCATTTGTACGTCTTCTTTGGAGAAGTGTCTGTTCATGTCTTCTGCCCATTTTTTGACTTGATTATGCTAAGTGAAATAAGTCAAGCAGAGAAAGTCAATTATCATATGGTTTCACTCATCTGTGGAACATAAGGAATAGCATGGAGGACATTAGGAGAAGGAAGGGAAAAATGAAGGGGGGGAATTGGAGGGAGATGAACCATGAGAGACTATGGACTCTGAGAGACAAACAGGGTTTTAGAGGGGAGGGGGGAGGGGGGATGGGTTAGCCCGGTGATGGGTGTTAAGGAGGGCACGTACTGCATGGAGCACCGGGTGTTGTATGAAAACAATGGATCGTGGATCACCACATCAAAACTAATGATGTATTGTATGGTGACTAACATAACATAATAAAATTAAAAAAAAATAAAGTACATTCACAATATAATCAGAAAATCTGACTTCATATTTCCTACTATATCAGCAATTTCTCTATATTGATCACATTACACAGACTTGAATCATGTTTTTACAAAGACAAGTCTTATCCTCTGGCTACAGAGAGAGAAAATTCTTCTCTAATAAGAGGGCCAGTCTTAGGATGACTACAGAGGCTACGAAGCATCAGAAATGGTACCTTGGACTCCTTTTTCTTAAGATCTTCTCTCGACAACCTCTCTTTTTTATCCGTGTTACTTTGGCGCCTCTCTTCATCAAAATGAAAACCTTCCTTGTGTCGCTTTTCCTTGTGTCTTTCTTCCCCCTCCTTGTCAGAGAAGGAGTTACTTTTTTCTTTTGGATACTTTTCTCTTTTTTCCCTTGTGCTGCTTTTTTCTCCATGTTTCCTTTCTCGATCTGGTTCTTTCTGCTTCTTGTGTCTCCTTTCGCCTTCTTCTTTATACAGCCAGTACGTAAGAGGATTGTCTTTACTGTCACCATACTGCAGCTTTGAATGGGACAGATTGCAGAATGCGTGAGCATACGAAACGTGGGCTGCCATCCTTCACACATGCGTGAAGCTGCACTGCCCTCCCTCCTCGACCCCGACTCTAAAGATGTGCTTCCGGAAAGAAAAACCCGCTGCTGGCGACACAACCCACACGGTAGTGGCAGGCATCACACTCCTGCCTTCACCCTGATATGGAAAACCACGTGCAAACTCCTCAGCATGGCAAGCATGCCCCCCTCCTCCACAGCCTGTCCTTGTCACTCCTGTCACCTTCTCCCCAGCTGTGAATGCGTCCTGCACTCCACCAACCCCAGTCCCTCCTTGAGATGTGTAACCTCTGTGAGCAGAGCACCACGCGCCCTACCAGCCTCTGTCCTTGGCAGTTCACACGTCTGCTCCCCCACAGGGAGATTCCTAAAACCAGGCACCACTGTGCAGTCATCTCTGATTCCCAAAACCACTGTGGGTGCTCAGTAGTAACTGGTGACATCCATCACATGGTGACACACAGCTCTTAGCAGAACATGCTGCTGACATGTCATATTTTTGGCTCAGACTCACAGTTTTGGGAGCATCATCAGTATGTCTCAACTGAATCCCAAATGGAACTGCCCTTTCCTCCCACCGAGGGCCTCCTCTACTCACACCCAACAGTGGGTCACTGCTCGCCCTCCAGCCACAGGGCCCTTACCTCCTTCTCGGCTCAGTCCCCATGGATCCCACTCCCGCCATCCCCCCTGTGGCTGCCCAGCAGCCTCCTGACTCCTCTCCTTCACCTCATTCCCACCCACTCTGCTCATCTCCGCCAGGATAACCTTCCTAAAGAAAAACGTGCTGGCAAGCTCCATGACCAAACTCCTCAGTCGTAAAGCTAGGTTACTACCACATACCTATCACCAAAATCAATTCTACGGGATTAAAGATTTAAGTGTTAAAAAAATTATAAGGACCCAGAACAAAATACAGGCGACTACTTATGTAATCCTGGTGTGGGGAGAAGGCTCTCCGAGCCTTACATCAACAACCAAAACAAGGAAAGACAGACCTGACTACCCCGTAACTTTAAACTTACTAAAAAAAACAAAGATCCCACAAACAAAATTCAAAACAGAAATGGAAACAGAAATAACTAGCAGGGAGTTCATCTTTAAAGTACTCTTAGAATAAATGCTCCATTAGGAAAGTAAGCAAACACGCAGAGGGGATAACTAACAACAGGGCAGTAAACCCTTTCATAAAATGTTCAGAAGTGTTCCTTTGTTCTGAATCAAATTAGCAAAGATTAAAAATTATGATCATGCCCAGTTGCTGCTTTGGACATGGGGAATTACACTCTGATGATATAAGTAATCACAGCTTTTCTGTACAGCAAATGGGTTAAGTTTATATTTACTTTCATCTAGCAAGTTCATTTCTAGAAATTAATCATAGGAAAATAATTATGAATAAAGGCAAAAACTTTACCCCATCGATGTCTTTATAATAAAAAAAAATTCAGAAGCAACCTAAGTGTCCAAAAAAAAAAGCAGATGTATCAAGAAAATTGACACACGCATATCATTATATTGTACAGCCATTAATATTATATAGAAGTATGACTTAGAAAAATGTTCCAAGTGTATCCAGTTTAAAGTTTTTTGTTTTGTTTTGTTTTTAATTTTTTTTTTTAAGATTTTATTTATTTGCTAGAGAGAGAATGAGAGACAGAGAGCATGAGAGGGAGGAGGGTCAGAGGGAGAAGCAGACTCCCTGCTAAGCAGGGAGCCTGACGTGGGACTCAATCCCGGGACTCCGGGATCATGACCTGAGCCGAAGGCAGTCGCTTAACCAACTGAGCCACCCAGGCGCCCCCAAGTGTATCCAGTTTAAAGTTCATAAAAGAGTAAAAATCCAATTTAAGAAAACATATATGTATATATACACAAATGCATATGTAAACCTACTCTGTTAGGATATATACTTAAATATTATCAATAATCATCTTGGGGTGGAATTTGTTTTTATTTTCTTCTTACTATTTATTTGTATTTTCTAAATTTTCCAAAATCACCATGTATTTCTCCTGAAAAGAAAACAACACATGCGTAAGGAAAAGTGGCTGAGAACTTCCTCAGACCTTGCATCCTGTGTGACAGCACTTTCCAAAAATGCTTCTACTAACAATGCATGAACAGGCTGTACTCTGCAGACTCCGGAGAGCCCTTTCTGGGTTTGCCCACGTACCTTTCTTTCTCTGTATCGTCTTTCTCTTTCTTCGTCCCTCCTCTCAGGGTCTTCATCTCTCCTCTCCTTCTCTTCCGTTCTCACTTTGCTTACTACAAAAATAGAACATATTTTTGACATTCCCAAACGTCAGCACATCAGAATGACCTAACATCCTGCTGCACTCTTTACTGTACATGTTGCATCATTATGTAGTATATTTTAACACATATGAAAACATATTCTTCAATTAAAACACATCCTTCAATATCAAGCATGAGAAGTCCTAGAATCTAAACTTAAAATGGGCTAAGGAGGGAGACTGCAATGGCAACTGAAGCAATCTGGAAAAGATCAGACTGACCCCCTGGAAACTCAAGAGGGGCAGTAGCCCACATACACGCCATCCGAGTTCCTGGCCACTGACCGAGGTGCCCAGGGAAGCAGAGCCCAGTCCACTACGAAAAACTGGCCCAGTCACCAAGTGCTCGGAGGCAAAGAAAAAACGCCTGCCTCGGGGACAACAGGGGAACTGCACAGCCCCACAGCCTCCTAGGGCCCACTGCTGAGGACACAGCGGATGCAGGAGGCCCCTGTGATAAGGATGCAACGTACGGCCCACCTGCTGGCACACACCCCTACCCACCATTTGAGATCTCTCCCTGATAGTGAAATTAGATTCACTTTTTTTTAAATTTTTTTAAATTTTTTATTGTTATGTTAGTCACCATACATTACATCATTAGTTTTAGATGTAGTGTTCCATCATTCATTGTTTGTGCATAACACCCAGTGCTCCATGTAGAACGTGCCCTCTTTAATACCCATCACGAGGCTAACCCACTCCCCCACCCCCTCCCCTCTAGAACCCTCAGTTTGTTTCTCAGAGTCCATCGTCTCTCATGGTTCGTCTCCCCCTCCGATTTCCCCCCTTTCATAGAGATTCACTTTTGAATCTGCACAGACAAAAAAAAAAGTCATTAGGCTTAAAATTAAGAGAATCAATAATTTAAAAGATGAGGACAAAATTAAACAGAGATCACTGAAACAAAGTTCATTCAGAAAGTGCTTGTGGAGCACTGACTGCTATTCTGGGAGCCTGGGATACAAGAGATCAAAACAGAGGGGATGGGGGACACAGAAGCGTCAGGGAGCGAAGGGCCAAGTTCCAACAGACTGCAGGAGAAAGACTGGGGTCCGAGTGACTCCCAGGTTTTCTGACTTGAGGAAGGGAAGGATGCGGCTGCCATCAACTGACATGGGTAAGGCTTTGGGGAAACAGGATTTGCGGGGATTTCAGAAGCCCAGTTCAGACCCACTAAGTTGCAACGTCTACCAGACACCAAAGGACAAGAATTCAAAGCCCAGAATTCAGGGACAAAAACTAGCTGGGAACCAAAACTTGGCAATCAAGAACAGATGACTAGTATTTACAATCATGAGAAAGGGTGCAGTCACGGGGGAGAGAACAGCTACAGACGTAGGGCAAAGATCACACGCCTCACAGAAGGGGAGGCTCACAGGAGACGGGAAGAGGCACATAAATAGCCAAGGAAGGGGAAGGACTGTCAAAGAGTCTAACTGCACAATTATTCATACCAATAATGCATTGAAAAAACAAGATCAGGTAGCAACCAAAAAAGATCTGAGAACCAAAAAGATTTTATTAGAAATACATACCAAGAACATCAATATAATAACCCTAAAAAGAGGCAATGGAGAGTAAGGTAGTTGCTGTTAAACATGCTGAGTGGTGACCCCATTAACCCATAATCCCACCCCTAAGTACACTTCACCCAACAAAAATGCACGCTCACACTCCAGGAGGTGCCCTGCTTCTGGGCTCTGTGCAGACCCAGGCAGCGGCCTCAGGAGCAGAAGGCAACAGTAGTAATAGGGAACATGAATAAGGGGCCTTGGTTTCCATCCTGTTCATAACCAGGACCTCAAGCCTTCCTGACAAATCTAAGAATTACTATGTATTCTTTAAATATATTCCTTTTTGTTTACATTAGCTAGTTAGAATTTTTTAGAAAAACATATACTATTTGTACAGTAAAAAAATGACAAAACTTACATGGGGGGAAGTATGCACATTTATCTTAGAATTCCTGGGAATTAGATAAAAATATTTAAATCTTGCTTAGAATAAAACTGACACTTTTGGGGAATTCTTCTAATTAAAGAGCATTATTTTCAGATACGTACAATGTAGATTGAGCTTTAGTCAGGTAGTCTAAAATGTGCCTTAATAGTAAAACTGTAGCAAATATTGAGAAAATTGTTACTCCTTCCATTCACTGAAATGAGTTTTTAAAATGTCAAAAAAAAAAAACCAGTGAAAAGTACATACATACCTACACACACACACAACAGAGGCCTACACCTTCAAGGTCAAGCTAAGAGATTTATGAAAATCATGAAAGAAAATACAATGATGAGTGAGCACTGCAAGAGAGGGAAATGCCCTGAGCACTAAGCTCTTTTACAGAGAAATACAGACAAGATGCAGCCACCAGCCACGCAGTGCCTCAGGGGAATATGGGGCTGCACCAGGTGCAAAGGTTCCACGGGGACACATGCAGCCACCAGCCACGCAGTGCCTCAGGGGAATATGGAGCTGCACCAGGTGCAAAGGTTCCACAGGGACACATGCAGCCACCAGCCACGCAGTGCATCAGAGGAATATGGGGCTGCACCAGGTGCAAAGGTTCCACAGCGGAAACACGCACCTGCTCGCATCTTGCGTTCTGCTCTGTCCAGGAGCTGCCGGCCCAGCAGGTTATGGTGGGCAGCCATCTGCCTGAGCTCCTCCCTCTTAGCTCTGCGGTCTCTGTCCTTGTCCCTGTCTTTTTCTTTACTGTGAGACTTCTCTGTGTCCTGTTCTCGGTATTTCTCTTTATGCCTTTCTCTGTCCCGGTCTCTGGAGGCCTTTTTCCTTTCCCTTTGCTTTTCTCTTTCTCTGTCCCCATGAGGGTTCTCCCTGGAGGTGTGGCCATCTCTCTCGCCAGGCCTCTCTCTGTACTTGGTGTCTCGGTCTGGGTCCCTGTGCTTCGGCTCTTTGTATTCAGGGAGGTCCATTTCTGACTCCTTATGCAGCTTCTTTTCTCTGTGTTTCTTATCTTCCTTGGGACTACCTGATTGTGCAGCCTAAACCAAGAGAAAAAAAGCAGAATTTGGAATGTGAGTCATACTCAATGAGGGGTCTTAACACTAGCTTCAACTGCTTTCCATCCCAGCAAGATGGGCCTGGAAGAAGAGTCTCTGAATGCGAAATCAGACTGAGCATTTCTATGACTGGCAATGGGCACCCATTTATTAGAGACTTTCTCATCTGCTGGCAAGTCAAATCTGAAATATTACATGGAATAGAAAGAAAAAGAAAGGGATATTGAAGCTGTATCTTAAAGTCTCTGAGACACCAACAGCCTGGGTCCAACTCAAAGAACAAGGACTGACCGGCCCCTCCCCCCTATAAAATTCTCAGGAGGTCTTGATCTCAACACCTGTTAACCCCAGTTACTTTACCAGCAAAAATGGGTTTATTCGGGAATGGCAGAGAATTGCAATCTGGGACAATTAAGCTATGGCAAAACCATAGGTGATTCTGCGGAACAAAGGAGAGGAGGCTCTTTTACAGGGGAGAGGGGGCATGGGGAGGGGCTGCATTAAGCTAAAAGTCCACTGGTGTAAACTTGGAGCTGGGAAGTGTAGTGGCTTCTCATTGGCTGAGCGGTTGCCAGGGCAGGAGGAAACCTTCCCTTCTCCCGACGGAACAGTAAACGAGTATCCACGGGGAGATGCATCTCTCCCTGCTGGGCCTGCAGCGGACAGTGGACTGGTAGAGCCTGGGCGCCGCCCCTTCTGGCCTCCCGACTCCAATCCAAAGGACGATTTTCCTTGTGCTCATCTTCTCAGCCCAAAGTTCCCTCCACATACACCACACACACAGACACATGCACACACATACATGCACATAGACACACATCAACACACACATGCAAACTTACCACACAGATAAACCACACACATGTGCACCCACCACACACACACACTCAATGCACACCACACACATACACGCACACACCGACACATATGGCCCAAGCCCTGACCCGTAACAGAAACCTGATGCAGCTGCTGGGATGCTGGGCTGAGCAGGGCAACCCTGTCCCACCACAGTTCCAGGCCTATTAACCATACGGCTTTATCTCTGAGTCAAAAACACTTCTGAAATGAGCCACACACAAGCAAAGCTGAGAAGTAGGTAAAACTGTCCAAGAAACCGTCCAAGCTCCAAAAGGACCCCAACTCAAATCTTTAAGATACAGTACCAAAAGATGTTTTCTGAGGTCATCTGCTTTCCAAGTATCATCTTTTGTTCTTCTCTAAAAAGAAAAGTATAAAGTTAGAATTTTTAAAGTTTAAAAAACTAATTTTGTACACTCTAGTGAGCTGCTTTTTCATTAGGCCATTTAAGTCAATGGCAATTAGTCCTTGACATGCAAGAAATTACTACCTACTAGAAAAAAAGGTAATAGTAATGCAAATTTTAAAAAACTATTCCCTAGTCTAAGATTACCTATAAACAATTATAGAATGTGTTCCTCTGGCTACTTCATAAGTGTAGGTAAAACACACTCCCCACTCTCCACCTTCCACATCACCCAATGCCTGTCAGTGCCCAGTCCCACTGCCCAACAGTGTTTCTGGCTGCCAACGGAGCAGATGCCCCTAGAGTGTCCCCACCTGGCAGGCTGCGCTCCGCCCCCCTCGCCCCTAGGTACTGAGCAACATGACTCCTCCATAAGCGCATACACAATTCACCTGCCACATACAAGACAGATTTAGATAATGAAGAAACTCACTAAGCAAATCAACCAAGGATGTTTCCTATAGGCAACATGGTAGATTTATCCAGATTATTTCACTTTCCCTTTGAGAAACAAAGGATACCAAAAAAGTAAGATTTTTGTAAGTTTCAGATTTAAAGCAAATGTAGTACAAATGAAAAACAAAAACTTATTCATGGATAAGCCACCAAAAATCTTCCTGGTAATGTGAAAGTTAAGGAAACAGAGGGGCGCCTGGGTGACTCAGTCGTTAAGTGTCTACCTTTAGCTCGGGTCGGGGTCCCAGGGTCCTGGGATCGAGCCCCGCATAGGGCTCCCTGCTCAGTGGGAGCCTGCTTCTCCCTCTCCCACTCCCCCTGCTTGTGTTCCTTCTCTCGCTGTGTCTCTGTCAAATAAATAAATAAAATCTTTAAAAAAAAAAAAAAAGTTAAGGAAACAGAAAAACAGTTCACAATAGTTCATAAATACTAACTAGAAATAAATAAAAAGCAATCAATTATAAGAATCTAGCCAATATATACTATAACCACAAAATTTACTGTGACCTACTATAATGAGAAAACGTATTTTTTGATAAATTGGTTGATTTAACAAAATGGGTCCTCAGCAAGATATGGTGTAAGATGATCAGTAGCAATTAGCATAGTTATAACTTATAGTTTCTGAACATTAAAATTTTTTGTCTCAAGTTCACTGCTCTGTGTAGAGGTTTAACATAGGACCTTTTCCAAACAAATGGTCCAAACTCAACAGAGAGCTCATGTGGACAAGAGCTAGAGACCTCTACAGAGTGGAAGGGCACCAGCCAGGGCCCATGGACTGGACCTCCTCCTGGATGTAATTACATGACTTATGCTGACAGGTAAAAACCCTGCAGGCAACAGCTCTCTGGTAGACCACAAGATCTTCCTTCTGCCCTTTTCACCAACCCAGCTTTGGGCCCTTGAAAATCAGGCAAACGGCCTTGCTCACCCCCCAAAGATTTTTCTTTCTTTTTTTCTCTTTTAAATGTCTTAGGTCATTTAAAAAATTAATGGTTTATGTTATAAAATAACACACAGTTCCCTCATGCCCTATCCCAGCCCCCACATGTCACACACATTTTTAGGAACTCTGTGGACAGAGTGCTTCACACCAGGAGCCTTTTGTCTTTTTTACCCTCCACTCAGCCAAGGTCTCTTAAAGACCAAATTCACCAGCATCTCAGCCCCTGCCCTGTGGAACAGAGACACCAGTTAAACTCTGGTACAGAGTACAGAATAGAAAGGCCACGCTTTCCCCTACAAGGAGAATAAACCCCCCCTGAAAACAAAACAAAAGAGGGGATCTGCCTACACAGCAAACCCTTCAAGCTACAGGATTACTCAGTCCACTCACAGGCAAACCTGAGAGTTCAACTCCATGGAGGTCAATATCCACACCAGGTGACCCCGGGCTGCATGTCCACTGCATGTAAAATGAGCAACTCCAGAAAGAGCCCCAGCGGAGCCGACCAGCATCTCGCATGAGCCACCTGGTGAGCCGGCTCAATGATGCCCATTCACCACGAGGCTCTCTGGAGCGCTATGCGGGGAGAGTCTTAGCCAGCCTTCATGGTGCTGGCCATCTGCCCCCAGAGAACAGCAGGACTTCAAAGGAATTCTCTGCGCTTCTCTTCCAGCTCATGCTGACACCCCAGGAGGAGCTGTGGGAGCACGGACACCTCACCCACCATCCCTTCGGGAGGCGGAAGCTGCAGAATAGCTCCCCTGGGCCAGTGTCCCTTTCCCTCATTACACTACGTACTGTTTATTCTTGAGCCAGACTCAGAGGCAGGAAAGCCAGACTCACTCTTTGGGTCATGCTCTGGGCCTGTTATCCCCAGTCATCCCTGTAGCCCCACTTCCCTAGTCCCAAAAAGCAGTTTCCCCAAAGCACATAGATCCCAGAACATCATGCCTGCCTCCAAACACCACCCAACCCAGGAGCTTCCAGGGTGTCCTGGATTGGCAGCACTGAGCAGCCACCCGACGCCTTCAACACCCAGCACCATCTCGGCTGAGCACTCACTCGCTTGCCGAGCTGAACCCATTAGCTGCATGTTAATAAAGGGCTAAAAGTGCTAAGTTGTTTTGTTCTCCACAAATTGTTTGACAACAGCTGCCACAGCTCCTGACACCTGGGGGCTATGCACCCTTGCCCTCAGCATCCTGGTTGCCAGTCGCTGTGGCTGGCTGCATGCCAAGAGTGGCCTGGTGGACAGGGAACCGACAATCCAGTCTCACATCAGATGTAACCCATCATCAAGTCCTACTACTTCTTTTTTTATTTATTTTTTTTATTTTTTTAAAGATTTTATTTATTTATTTATTTATTTGAGACAGAGAGAATGAGAGACAGAGAGCACATGAAAGGGGGGAGGGTCAGAGGGAGAAGCAGGCTCCCCGCCAAGCAGGGAGCCCGATGCGGGACTCGATCCAGGGACTCCAGGATCATGACCTGAGCCGAAGGCAGTCACTCAACCAACTGAGCCACCCAGGTGCCCAAGTCCTACTACTTCCTGTAACACGTTTCCTAAAATGAAAGAAATCCATTCTTCCTGGGGACGCCTGGGTGGCTCAGTCAGTTAAGCGTCTGCCTTCGGCTCAGGTCATGATTCCAGAGTCCTGGGATCGAGCCCCACATCGGGCCCCTTGCTCAGCAGGGAGCCTGCTTCTCCCTCTCCCTCTACCTGCTGCTCTCTCTCTCTCTATGTCAAATAAATAAATAAATAAAATCTTAAAAAAAAAAAAAAAAAGAAATCCGTCTTCCTGTCCAGTCCCACTGCCCCAAACCCAACCCAGACTTTCATGCCATGGCAGTCACATGGTCTGTGTCCATAGCACCACTGGTCCAACCCAGGGGATGTAGTTCAGAGCATGCAGGGGTGGTGTCCCTCATGGCAAGAATGCCCAGAATTACAGGCTGGAATGAGCAGGGACACTGGAGGCCACAGAAGGTGGCCTCCCAAGCCCACAGAACAACAGACTAACCAGTGCATTTGCCAAAAGACGCAAAGAGGGGAGGCTGGCTCACACACAGCTTTAGGACTGAGACATGATGTACCTTTGGCTGTCTTTTTCAGAATTACCCCTTAATGCTAGAAAATGTTTTATATTATAAATTCAATCACTTGGAAACAAATTATTGGCTGCTCAAGTAACCAAGTAAACTGGATTACTGATTGTTCCACAGCTATGCCTCTAATCCCTGCTTGTTAGCACACCAACAGGCACACTGTCTGGCTGAGAATGTGCAGGTCGTTTCTAACGTTCCAGACGACAGACTCTATGTTGTGGACGCGTGCATCTGCAAACAAGAGCCCTAATGTGCAGATGCTGCACCAGGCACAGGACACCTAAGCTCAGATGGCACTGAGTCTGACTCGCAAGGGGGAGGCTGACTGCAGACTGAGTCCTTTCTGGAGCTGGCTGCAGATTAGCAGTGTGGGGAGAGGGTCCAAGGCAAACTGCCAACAGCCGGGGATAGCTGAGCTCCACTCCCATCTGCGCAGGGGTGGCTGGGCACATTAAACGGAGCAGCTGGGGGAGAGAAATCACGCGGGGGTGCTCAGCATAAATGCAGCCAGGCCAGACACATGAGTGTCTGCAGGCTGGCAGCTATGGAAGTCTGTCTACCTTCCCATAGACACCTAGAGGCAGAGGTCTCATCCTTCCTGGGGATTCCAGTTGCAGGATGGCTTTCAGGTCCTAGAGAGAAACACTCCTGGGTTGTAGAGACACACAGACATCTCAGAGGGACAGAGGAAGGATGCAAAACTGTAAATGCACTAGAAAGGGAGGGGCAGGCCTATCCAGGTGCTGGCCAAACACACTGCCATTCTGGCAGCCCTGGGCTTTGCCAAACAGGAACTCAAAGGGGGCTGGCTCATCACAGGGACATAGTCTTAGGCTGTCAGAAGCCCCTAAATGTTAGTCAGTTTTCTTCATGCAGGAGAACCTTGTAAGTGGGTTAGAGAGGACCAACTCTCCAAGAGCCCAGGGTATTTGCCCTAGAACATGCAGCCTTTCTTTTTTTTTTTTTTTAAAGATTTTATTTATTTATTTGAGAGAGAGAGAATGAGAGACAGAGAGCACAAGAGGGCAGAGGGAGAAGCAGACCCCCCGCTGAGCAGGGAGCCCGATGTGGGACTCGATGCCGGGTCTCCAGGATCATGACCTGAGCCGAAGGCAGTCGCTTAACCAACTGAGCCACCCAGGCGCCGGAACATGCAGCCTGCCTTCCTTTCTTCCTTTCTTCCTTTCTTTCTTTCTTTCTTTCTTCCTTTCCTTTCTTTCTTTCTTCCTTTCCTTTCTTTCTTTCTTTCTTTCTTCCTTTCTTCCTTCCTTTCTTCCTTTCTTTGTTTATTTATTTATTTATTTATTCTTATGTTAATCCCCATACATTACATCATTAATTTTAGATGTAGTGTTCCATGATTCATTGTTTGTGCATAACACCCAGTGCTCCATGCAGAACGTGCCCTCTTTAATACCCATCACCAGGCTAACCCATCCTCCCACCCCCTCCCCTCTAGAACCCTGTTTGTTTTTCAGAGTCCATCGTCTCTCATGGTTCGTCTACCCCTCCGATTTCCCCCGCTTCATTCTTCCCCTCCCGCTACCTTCTTCTTCTTTTTTTTTTTTCTTAACATATATTGCATTATTTGTTTCAGAGGTACAGATCTGAGATTCAACAGTCTTGCACAATTCACAGCGCTACATGCAGCCTTTCTAAAAACAGAATGAAGTAGCACTGCACCGACCTAAACAGTTAACAGCAGTTAACAGTGAATGGCTGTAACACAGCGATTCAAATTTCATATCAACATTTAAAAAGACGAGAACTTTATTTTATTCTAAGGATAAACTCAATACATACAGATATATATATTTATCTATATATATGTGTGTTTATACCTTTTAAGCTATGATTAATAAATTTCATGATAATAAACTCACACATTACCAATTGTTTGGTATGTAACAGAAAAAATTAGAAATTTCTAAAATTAGGGCGCCTGGGTGGCTCAGTTGGTTAAGCGACTGCCTTCGGCTCGGGTCATGATCCCAGGGTCCTGGGATTGAGTCCCGCATCGGGCTCCCTGCTCTGCGGGGAGCCTGCTTCTCCCTCTCCCACTCCCCCTGCTTGTGTTCCCTCTCTCGCTGTGTCTCTCTCTGTCAAATAAATAAATAAAATCTTTAAAAAAAAAAAAAAGAAATTTCTAAAATTATCATTGAGCATAGAAATTAATAAAAGTCAAACACTGGAAGCAAGGTAAACTAAAATGTTTTTAAAGAACTAACACTGGGGGCGCCTGGGTGGCTCAGTCAGTTGAGCATCTGCCTTGGGCTCGGGTCGTGGTCCCAGGGTCCTGGGATCGAGCCCCACATCGGGCTCCCTGCTCGGCGGGAAGCCTGCTTCTCCCTCTCCCACTCCCCCTGCTTGTGTTCCCTCTCTCGCTGTGTCTCTCTCTGTCAAATAAATAAATAAAATCTTAAAAAAAAAAAAAAGAACACTGAAAACTCACTACCTTTATCAAGCAGGTGTAAAGTCAGCAAACACACTATTAAGTTTTATTTTCTATAAATAGCTACAAAATACTGAACCTTTTTATGATCTTAGTAGAAATAAAGAACACAAAACTGGTTATATTAGTGATAGAAGTGATGTCAGCAAATAAATATACTGACAGAAACCTAAGGAAAAGCTTGGTACATGATAAAGTTACAATAAACAACACCAAAAAGTCCAGCACAATTTTATTCCAATCACTGCATAGAGGTTTTACTCTTCCCTTGACTTTATGGAACAAAATACACTAATTCTGTAGTACTATAATAACTGCATAACAAGGTTCTAAGGACCAGATTAACCTCCTAAAAAGTTAATGACCAACTTGCAAATGAGAACTTAATATGGGGATTCATTAACTGCCAGGAAATAGCTGCTTTTGCTACTTTGAAATGTTTATTTTATAAATATGTATCAGAAAACAACCCCCAAGATAATTCAAAGTAATGCAAAATGTAACCAACTAGGTGAACTATGTCATCCAGAATCACAAAAAGACACAGGGGAGAACTTATCTGGGTGAGATCTAATAAAGAAATACGTGTCTGATAATTAAATGGTCTTGGGAGTGAAGAGCCTGAGGAATCTCTGTGCCTGCTCTGGAATCCTATCTCAGTGGTTAAGAACAAGGGCTTTACAAACAATTCAGGGAGAAGACTGAGCGGGAACCAGCAGAGCAAACCCCTACTATTCAAAAAACTTACTTTAATAAACCTGGTGCTTCATTCATAAATATGAAAAGTCAATTAGACAGTTGAGAAAACACCGACATAAGAAAGAGAAGAATCAAGAAAAACAAATGGAGAAAATGACCCTAAAAGAAAATGACCCAAGGAAATAAAGAAAAATCTTTATTTAGGGGCGCCTGGGAGGCTCAGTCAGTCGAGCATCTGCCTTGGGCTCGGGTCATGATCCCACCTGGGATCAAGCCCCATGTCCAGCTCCCTGCTCAGCGGGAAGCCTGCTTCTCCCTCTCCCACTCCCCCTGCTTGTGTTCCCTCTCTTCCTGTCTCTCTGTCAAAAAATAAATAAAATCTTTAAAAAAAAAAGAAAAATCTTTATTTAAAAAAAGAATACTAAGTCAAAGGGATACATGCATCCCAATGTTTATAGCAGCATTATCTATAATCTCGCCATATCCAAGGACATGGATGGAACTAGAATGTATTATGCTAAGTCAAGTAAGTCAGTCAGAGAAAAACAAATACTGTATGATTTCACTCATATGTAGAATTTAATAAACGAAACAAATGAACATAAGGGAAAAAAGAGAGAGAGAGAAATCAAGAAACATTCTTAATTATGGAGAACAAACTCATGGTTACCAGAGGGGAGGGGTGGGGGGATGGGTTAAATTTGTGATGGGGATTACGGAGTGCACTTGTCCTGATGAGTGCTGCATGATGTAGGAAATTGTTGAATCACTATACTGTACACCTGAAATTGATATAACACCGGATGTTAACTATACTGGAATAAATTTTTAATTTTTTTAATTTTTAAAAATTTTTTTAAAAAAAGCTTCCTGCTCTAACCCCAAGGGGAGACAGTGCTTTAAGAGCTACCTCCCTCTTTGGGGTGCCTGGGTGGTGCAGTCAGTGAAGTGTCTGACTCGTGGTTTCAGCTCATGTTGTGATCTTAGGTCGTGGGATCGAGCCCCGTGTGGCACTCTGTGCTCAACGAGGAGTCTGCCTGAGATTCTCTCTTGGTCTCGCTCCACCCCTACCCGCCCCACCCCACTCTCAAATAAATAAATCAATCTTTAAAAAAATGGGGTGCCTGGGTGGCTCAGTCAGTTAAGTGTCTGCCTTCAGTTCAGGTCATGATCCCAGGGTCCTGGAATTGAGCCCCACATCGGGCTCCCTGCTCCGTGGGGAGTCTGCTTCTCCCTCTGCCTCTGCTGCTGCTCCCCTTGCTTGTGCTCTCTAATGAATAAATAAAACCTAAAAAAAAAGTTATCTCCCTCCTTATTTGTAACAAGTAATAAAAGTTCTTTGCTTAAAAATTAATTAAATTAGGGCACCTGGGTGGCTCAGTTGGTTGAGCGACTGCCTTCGGCTCAGGTCACGATCCTGGAGTCCCTGGATCTAGTCCCACGTCAGGCTCCCTGCTCGGCAGGGAGTCTGCTTCTCCCTCTGACCCTCTTCCCTCTCGTGCTCTCTGTCTCTCATTCTCTCTCTCAAATAAATAAATAAAATCTTTTAAAAAAATTAATTAAATTAGAACTAACAATTAAGTAGATAAAGCTAACAATAAAGCTGGAGCAATCAGAATATAGAAAGTCAAGGAGATGGAAAATATGAGCCATGAATTCAACATGTGACAGGAGACTGAATCAGAGTTCCAGAAAGAATGGGGAAAACAGAAAGAAGGAAATACAGAATAGAAAAAATGTCCTAGAAGTAAAGGTAGACTTGAGGTTTCATTTTGAAACGCATAATCAAATGTCAAAAATAATGAAAAAAAAGAACCACAATAGACATATTGCCATATATGTCCAGAACACCAAGGACAAAGATCCGAAATCTTTTGGAAAGAAAGAAAATGTTATTTACAAAAATATCTCATCAACCAAACTGGTTGCTAGAAGATGAAGATGCTAGAAGATGCCTTCAAAGTCCTGGAGAAATTACGGGGCGCCTGGGTGGCTCAGTCGGTTAAGTGTCTGACTTCGGCTCAGGTCATCCAGGGTCCTGGGATCGAGCCCCGCATCGGGCTCCACACTCAGTGGGGAGTCTGCTTCTCGCTCTCCCTCTCCTTCTGCCCCTACCCCACTCTGTGCTCCCTCTCTCCCTCTCATTCTCTCAAATAAATAAATCTTCAAAGTGCTGGAGAAATTCATTCTGACCCTAGAATTCTGCACTAAGCCGAAGTCTCAAGTGTATCCGCATAATAAAGACATTCTTAAGAGCACAGCTTCCTTCCTACATAACCTTATTTAAAAAGGTACCTGAGGATTTACTCCAGGGAAAAACGGGGGGGGGGGGGGGATTCCAAGAAAACTGATGACACTGTATCCAAAACACAGTAGATCTAACCCAGAAGCACAAAGAAAAGAAATTCCCAGATGACTGCTCTGAGAAGGTCTAGAAAAGAAATTGGTCCTGAGCGAACTCTGGAAAGGATCTTGTAAAGCAGATTTTATTGAGCAGATGATACGACTGGTTACTAAGCTAAATACGTTAAGTGATAAGGTTAAGAAAAAAGGCATTTGCTTTGCCAAGGAGGAAGGGAGTTCAAACTGGCCCTCGGTCGAGGGTCCCCCGCTCTAGGACCAAGCGCCCTCCTCGCCGCGGCCCGGCTGACCACGACGCGCCCCTGCCGCTCGCCTCCCGGGACCCGTGGTTCCCACACCGCCCAGCACGCGACACGACCACGGCGGGAAGGCGGCCGGGATGCCGGCAACCGTGCACTCCGGCCCACGGGCGACCCCGGACCGCCCCACGCGCCGCCCGCTCGCACTCACCTTCCCGGGCTCCATCGCAGCTCGCAGGCCCGGACCGCCGGGCCAGCGTCCCCGGCTCCTAGCAACCGGCAGGCGCGAGCAGCCGAGCGCCGAACGACCGCAGTCCCGCCAGGCCGTGCGGCCGCCCCCGGCGCTTCTGTCCTCTCCCGGCTCCCGGCAGTTGGCAGGCATGAGCAGAAGAGCGCCGAGCCACCGCTGTCCCAGAATGCCCCGCGGCCGTCCCCAGCGCGCCTGCGCATCCCTGGCTCCTAGCAGCCGACAGGCAGAAGCAACAGAAGGCCGAGCCATTTCCGGCCCGGGTAACCAATCCCCCGGTCCACACGACGCACCACCGTCACCCCCGCTCGGTGGGGTGGAAAGGGCCGCAGCGCGATCCGGGTCTCCAGCCCGGTCAGCGTTCGGCTGGCGGGGGGCGCGGGCCTCGCTGCGGGAACTGAGCTGGGCTGACCCTCCGGCCTGGCTGGGAGGACCGGAGCTGAGCAGCGTCCCTGGACATCTGGAGCTACGACGAGGAAGTTGAGGCCGGCTGCCGAGCCGACTGCTACTTAAGCGGCTAAACTCCAATTCCTGGGTGCCTGGGTACCACCGGGTACTTGGAGGGCGTTATACTCCGGTCCTGAGGCAGCATCGGGAAGCGATCTTAACGTCCCACCTCTTCAAAGCAAGAAAATTAAGCACCCCAAAACTCGACTTAGCAAATATACAGTAGATGAGGAGAAGAGCTTTTCATCTGTATATGGATTCGCACCTTAGAATTCATTTTCCCATTTATGTCACTGCATAATACACACCCTGTAAGGTACTGGGAATCAAAGTATTTGAAAATGTAGTTGTTGAAAGCATGATTTTTTATATGAGACAAGAGACAAGAGTACTGAAACATTAAGACAGATACTCTGCATCTCAGATTTATTTTATCAGAATTATTTTATTTGAAGCTTAATATAAAAGTCCGTCTTAAATAAGCAAGACTGAAGAGGGGTGGTCCTATTCCGGTAATGCACGTTATAACTGATGTTTAGCTGTGTTTCCACACGCTGTTTTGCATTTGGTTAGTATGCAAATGTTACTAAGAAAAGATTCCCCTTAATATTTCATGCACACAAAAAAGAGCAGACTCTCAAATCATGCGTTAAGGAGGACATCCTTGAGCATGTTATTAATAGTCTGCGCTTTTGATAGCATGTTTTCCTGGAGATATAAAATTTATTTTGCAGATGTTGTGTTTTTTAATCACATACTATTATGAACCAGTTTACAGTTTTATGGATCTGTCTACTTTGTTCCAGATAAAGGCCATTTACCTAGCTTCTTGCCTTAGAGAAATTAATAGCAGATCCAAAAAGCCTTGTATATTTAATTGTACTCTGGTCCTGGGCATATCACTACTTTTTTTTTCATTCTCATTCTTTAACCCTTTAGGAAGAACATAACAGAAAAGGAAGGTAGGAAAGGCAGTTTCAGTGAGAGCTGTGATATATTGAGGAATTGCTGCAAGTGAGGCACCAAACTCAAACTTTCCATTGGGCCATTCACTTAATTCTTGTGGCATCCCTGTGAGGTAGACCTGTTCCTGTTTTTCAGATGAGGAGACTGAAGGCCAGAAAGGTTAATTCACTTGCCTAAACTCACAAAGCCAGGCTGATGGATGGTCTGATGCCAGAGTCCATGCTTTTAAGCACTGTGTCACTCTTCGTCAACCAAGAAAACATCTGATTCTGGAAAAGCTTCGAACTCTGTTGAATATGAGGATAAAGTCATGCATACCGCATGACCGACCTGGGTCTCAAGTGCAACCAGACTCCTTTCAAGATAATCGGGCGTTAACTCTGCCTCTTATTTCCACTGCCACCCTTCATCAGCAAACAGCATGACTTCGAGCTCCCCAGATGCAGTATATTCACAGGCTTGGTGAATGCTGTCTCCTCCTCTTGCTCACTATTTCCAGCACAACTGCTGAATAAATGGCTAAAACAGCCTTTCTCTCCTCAGACCTCCCAAAACAACCATTTTCTAAATAACTCCTTTGATGAGCAGTTCCATTTTATCTTACAATATTTCTTTTATTGTGTTCATTCATTTAGTAGATGCCTTCCTAAGTTCATTTGATGACCTGGGAAGTGACAGAGGGCTAGAGATAGAAAGCTACATGAACACTCTCTGGACCTCTAGTAGCTCATGATTGCTAGGACAGAGAAATAGGCAAACAGCTGCTAAATAACAGGAACCTATGAGAGCAGTAAGTGAGAAGGTGACAGATGGCTCTCTGGAAGAAAGACTGAGGTTGGGAAGGACACATAATTTCCCAGACAGAGAGGCTGGGAAAGAACATCTTGGGTCCAAGCCCAGAGAGAAGGCGGCTTTGGAGGGTTCCAGGAAATATGATTGTCCCTGGAACTGTGCTGTAGAAGAAAGCATATAGAAATATAATCCAAGCCACATAGATCATTATAAATTATGTAGTAGCCACACTTTAAAAAGTACAAAGAAACAGATGAAATCAAATTTAATAATGTATTTAGTGGGGCGCCTGGGTGGCTCGGTCGTTGGGCATCTGCCTTAGGCTCGGGTCATGATCCCAGGGTCCTGGGATGGAGCCCCACATCGGGCTCCCTGCTCGGCGGGAGGCCTGCTTCTCCCTCTCCCACTCCCCCTGCTTGTGTTCCCTCTCTCGCTGTGTCTCTCTCTGTCAAATAAATAAATAAGGTCTTTAAAAAAAATAATGATGTATTTAGCCACATACATAATGTTATCATTTTATCATATAATGTATATTTAAAATGTTGAGTTATTTTACTTTTCTTACACTGTCTTCAAAATCCAGTGTGTGTTTTATATTTACAGCACACCTCAGTTCAGACTGGCCACATTTCATGTGCTCAAAGCCCCATGGGCAAGTGGCCTCTGTGTGGAGCAGAGCAGGTGTCCAGCACAGAGTATGTGAGTGGGAGTAGCAGGGGGCATATGGAGTGGCATGAGATGGTCAGAGAGGAGGCTGGAAAGGGGGGCACGGCCAGCCAGTGAAGGATCTTGAAATGGCATGATGTGAAGATTTAAAGCATTGTGGGCAATGCTAAGTCATTAAAATGGGAAGAGAATGCTGTGTTTGCAGACTGAAGGACAGGTAAGTTGGAGACAAGTGGGAGCCAACAATGGGGGCTTCGTGGGGCTTTGCAGCCATTGTGCAGCCTGCTCCTCTGCCCCTTCCCCAAGCTAGCTTTGTTCCAGACTCCCAGAGACAGCTGCGGCCGTCTGCACAGACCCTCCCTTACTCACCTTTGGTCCCACTGGTTTGTTAAAGTTCTCCTATGTCCTCTTTTCTAGAATTTAAACATGTCTGTCCATCTCCCTCACTGGACTGTAAACCAGCTTATAATTCGGGGTTATGATAAAAACAGAACCTTTTTTCACAGTAATAAGCAAATTTGTCACAAAAGCCAAGAACTTTCCTTTCCCAGCCTCTTTGGTTTTCGAGGTCAGGTAAATTTGGTGTCCCTCTAATGCCTGTGTACATGGATATGATAGAAAACCTACCTGTGGGTTTAACGAACTAACATGCTAGTGAGAAGTCTGATCAGCCTCTCACTGGCTGTGTGAACGTAGAAAGTTTGTTTTACTACCTTGTGCTTCAGTTAGCTCTTCAGTAAAATGGGAATTACAAGTACCTGTTCTGTAGAGTAGTCATGAGGATTACATGAGTGATTATGTGAAGTACCCAGAACAGCGCCTATTGCAAACTAAGCACACAGTAAGGTATTAACAAGTTTATTACTGTTATTATGGATTAGCACCTAAGTTATAAACATCTAGGACAGATGAAAATAGGTGGGATACCAAAATTAGAGCCTGCCTTTATCAATTTATAAATTATCTGCTACTGTATGAAACCAAAACTGGAGGACTTCCATCAGTGAAGAGATTGCGGTAGGCAGAACTCTGGCCCTAATAGTCCAGCCCCTGGCATCCACTCTCTTGTTGAACACTCTCTCCTTGAGTGTGAGCAAAATCTGTGAATGTGATGGGATCTACTCCCGTGGTCAGGTTACCGAGGAGTTGACTAAAGTGGTCAAAAGGGAGATAATCCCGGTTGGGCCTGACTTTCCAAAGAAGGTGATACATCTGAGAGACACTCCTGTCCTGGAAGAAGATGAAGCAAACTGCGATGCCAGGAGGGGACGAAGGAGGGGGCACATGGAAGGAACAGAGGGTGACCCCTGGCTGTCGGCCAGCAGAAATTAGGGACTTAAGCCCTACAGCTGCAGTGAACTGAATTCTGCCAACACCCTGAATGAACTTGGGAGGGGATCTCAGATGAAGGTCTCCAAAGGAGACCACAGCTCAGGCAACAAGCCAACACTTGGTTTCACCTAATGAGACCTGAACAGAGGACTTAATGAAGCCATGCACGTATCATCTTCAATAACGATAAAAACTGGAATGGGGCTTGTGACTTGATAGATGGCTTCAGTGGGGTGCTCTAACATGTACCACCTAATTCAGACTCCCCTCCCCAAGAACATCAGGGCCCCCCCTCACATGCATAGAGCTGCCTCTGGGGCTCCTGAGGGCTGAGCTGTATTCAGCAGATAAGTGTAGTCATGGAGATAAGCATAAGGTATAGATAGGATTAACTCGAGGAAGGAGATATCACAAAAGGCTTCACAGAAGTGGAGATATACAAATTGTTTTGAAAGATGAATAGAAGGGGCGCCTGGGTGGCTCAGTCGTTAAGCGTCTGCCTTCAGCTCAGGTCGTGATCCCGGGGTCCTGGGATCGAGCCCCGCATTGGGCTCCCTGCTTGGCGGGAAGCCTGCTTCTCCCTCTCCCACTCCCCGTTTGTGTTCCCTCTCTCGCTGTGTCTCTCTCTGTCAAATAAATAAATAAAATCTTAAAAAAAAAAAAAAAGAAAGATGAATAGGAGTTTTGCATAAGGATAGAGGGAAAAGGGTAGTCCAGACACAGAGAAGAGCAGGTGCAAAGGCACAGACAGGTAACAGCAGGGTTTGGGAGGAATGAGCAGCAGAGCAGACCCTAGATCACGAGGTGAGGCTAGAGGTAGGATCAAATGTAGACAAGCTCTGTGTGTCATGCAGAGGAGCTGTAACTTCACATTAGAAGCAAAGGATATATAAGCAGGGAAGAGATTCAATCAAATCTGCATTTTGAATTGGCTATTTGATAGAAATATGGACTTTTAAAAATGACTTTTGGATTAATTTCGAACTTAGAGAAAATATGCAAGTACAAAGCACCCTGTCTCCACTGCCCAGATTCCCACCATGAACCTCCCAGCATATCTGCTCCACTTGTCTGTCATCCAGCATTCATCTGTCTACACCTACACTTACCCATTATTGTTAGACTTGTTCTGAGTCATTTGACAAAGAACTTCAGATAGGATTACTCATCACTCCAAAATACTCCAGTGTTTGTCTTCCCAAAACAAGGACAGACTCTGCTCCACAGCCTCCCAGTCAGGAAGTCAACATGGTTACAGGTCTGCTGTCTGATCCACAGACCCCCTTGTTCCACCGACTGTCCCAAACACTTCTTTTCCTTCACATCCCAGATCCCACGAGGAACACACGTCGCATGTAGCTGTGTCTCTTCGGTCTCTTGTGATCTGGAATATTTAGTTCCTCAGTGAGAACAAAGGGGACCATACCCTGCAGCAGCCCCCTGAGTCCCTAGGCCATACTCGAGTCAGGCTTTCTCAAGCTCTCTGGCAAAATGCCCCAGGAAGGCTTCTGTACTCCTCTTTCCCTTTGTAATTGATAAGTATCTTGTAGAAAGTATTCCGGTATTATTCCTCACCAAACTTCCACCTACTGCCCTTAGCCTTCGTTGATAACTTGCTCTTGCACTACTGTGACTGCTAACTGGTGATTTTCCATTTCTGTGACTCCAGTGATTTATTTTCTGTGCATTCCTCACTCGCTCATTCATCTACATCAGAATGGACTCATGGGTTCCTATTTTACTCCCTGGCTTGTAATCTGCCAATGTCATCCTTGATTTTGCTGCTCAGATTGTCCCAGATTTAATCAGCAAGAGCCCTTCAAGTTGCCTACCATGTCCTTTGACAGCACATGATTCTTTGAGCATTTTCTTACCTCCTGGCACAACAAAATATTCCAGGTTCATCTTGTACTTTCACTGCTCCAGCCCTGAAGTCAACTATTTCTCCAGAGATCTGTGGTTCCTTTTATTGGAAAATGGTATCTAGACACCAACATCTGGGAGTTACTTGTACTTACTGGTACAGGGGTACCATTGTTTCTGGACACTCTCAGCAGAGAGAAATAGAAAATATATAACACACAAATACAGACAATAACTATTTTTGGGTCTCTGTACATATATGTCAAAACACATGAGTTCATACCTCCTCCAAGTCCAGTCCAAAACATGAGGGTTCTTTCTGGACTCTCCCTTTCCATGCTTGTAATATCTTCTCCAACAGCAAGAAACCTGGCTTTCATCATCCTCAGTGTATGTGTTTATTTGCTAATAGACTGGGCTGAGGAGTCTGTCTACCACCTCAGGTAGGCCTGTCACTGCCTCCTCCATGGGGGGGGGGGGGAGATGGTCTCTGTGGAACTTTTGAAGGGTGGGATTAAAGGGCTCCCAGTCAAGTAAGAGATTTCTGTCATGATCTGAGCAAGCAAGAAAGGACCAAGCCTTTTCTGATTCTTTTGGTTGCATAGCACAGAAACCCACTCAGGGCTCAGGTAAAGAATATGGTTGTGTCACCAAAGGAGCATCTTAGAAAAGGTAGGAGTCTTGGTGAGTTTGGGCAGAAAGAGTCCTGGTTAGTAGGATGAAAGGAAGAGAGGCAAAGTGTGATCCCATGGTCTACAACGAAACCTATGTAGAGCTGATAGGGAAGGAGCTAGAACAGGACGAGGTAGAAGAGGTGGAGAGGATAGTTGATAAGGCCCAGACTTAGGCGAGAGGAGAGGTGAAACAAAGCA